CAAATCACAAGTCATATTTGAGAATTTTACAGATGTTATCTTTGAAATCTCTTATCCACATGTCAATGACTCAAACTTCCGTGGAAGTTTAAAAGTAAATATAATAAATAGTCTATGAATCCCCCCACCTTCCAAATAATAAATATAAAATAAATAAATTGGGAAGAGAGGCACAAATGTATTTTCTGTGCTGAAAATTTTTTGGACTGTCTTGGCTATCATAGAACTGAGTTTATTTGGTTGAAGACATTCCGGCACATGCATATGATAACTGTTTTCCCCTTTAATCCCTAATTGTTTTCTGAACTACGCTACTAGCCTATCAATAAATAAGACTATAAGAGGCATGTAACAGCCATCACACCCTCATCTCGTCAGTTGGTGAACGGTGAACCCTTTATATATTTCTGATTTCTCTTTACAACTTTCAACTAAAATGCTGTACATTTTACAGGCTCTTGTGAAATGAAACTGTTAAACTCTTCTGCACTGCTTGTAGAACCTTTAGAAAGTCGAAAATTTGCAAGGTTTTCTTTACAGTACACAGAAAGAGAGGATAAGCCTGTTAAAGATGAAACATGGGAACCAAGATTTGCTGGACATCAGAGTATGCAAGAGAGGGAAGAATCTTTTCTTGCCCGCAACCAAAAGATAAACTGTGGTTTTGTCAAAGGCCCTGAAGGAGCTCCATCTACAGGTTTTGACTTGGCTGAAGATGATGCCAAATACATTAGTAGTTGCCACATTGCTGTTATATCATGTATATTTGGAAATTCAGATCGTTTGAGAATGCCAGCAGGCAAAATGGTACCATCTGTGTTACTTTTTGCTCTCTTTCAATTCTGTATGTCATGCTTTTTATATCAACTTCCATTTCATTTCGTTAGTTCCATTTGATTCACCCTCTTTACATATCAAGTTGTGAGGTTGATACTAGTTTAAAATACACACAAATGACACAATTACAACTACAATAACATCTGTGTTAAGTGGCCACATGTAGTACGCCCAAGGTACCATACCTGGCTGGATATAAGAGAAATTCCTTGCATTTGATCTGTATCAGCCAATAATGTTGCCAACTAGAATAATTGAAATCATCCTTGCCTTTCTCTTTTTTGTGGACTGTTCATTTTTCTTTTGGTTGTCATCATGTAGGTAAAAAATTTGCTTTATATTTGAAAGAGCACTCAAATCATTCTTTTTTCATTGCCTCCATCCAGATCTCTAGAACATCCAGGAAAAATGTTTGCTTCGTTATGTTTGTGGATGAAGCTACTTTACAATCTCTCTCATCAGAAGGGCGAATGTTGGATAGCATGGGCTTCATCGGTTTATGGAAAATAGTGTTAGTGAAAAATTTGCCTTACACTGACATGCGGAGAGTGGGAAAGATACCAAAACTTTTATCACATAGACTTTTTACTTCAGCCAGGTGAGAAAAAGCTACTTGTTTCAAGAAAGTTATCTATTTATTTATTTATTCCACTGTTTCTACTCTAACATATTCCCTTGCTAAAGTCCACCAAGCCCTATAGAATTTATTTGACAAAGGATGAAGTACATTTCATGGGCCTTAATTTTGGTTTTTCCATTTAAAATTATAATGCTTATTAGTCATGGCCTGACTTTATTTGTGCATGCATGTACGCTGTTTTTTGTTTTTTATTTAAGTGCAACTACAAGTGAAAAGTCACTGAGAATAGCATTTGACAAAATTTGATTAATTAATAGCCCTGTGCAATTTTTATTGCGATGAATAAACTGCATTTTATGGGCAAGTATTGGGTTTGCCATCTAAATACTATAATTTTGGATCTTTCATGTCTTGATCATAATGTTTTCACCTTGTTTTATTTCTATGAACTGCTTATTCTTGGTGTAACTATACATGATGTGAATTTGTATAAAAATAGCATTTGATAAATTAATTGGACTAAGATTTCTATCACTGGCTGAGGTTAAAATAAGAAATCACAAATTTTTCTCTAAGAGAGTGTGAATTCAAGAATTTTTCCCTTGGTGGCTGTCTAATACCATAGTCTGGTGGATCTAAACTTTTGACTTTGCATACTTTCTTGGACTAAAGATTTGTGTGCTTTTCTGGCACCTATAAGTCATGAATGGGGCTGGGAAAATGTGGACAATGTCTGAGCTAAAACAGCTGAAAAGAATTGCAGGCCAAGTGTTAATAGTTTATTTTTGAACTTGCACTTAGTCCAATCTGCCTCCAACTGCATTTATGTTTTGCCTGTAACTGTACTTGTGGAATAGAGCTTTCTCATTTCTTTTTTTGTTTAATGTTTTGTGATTTCATTTATGCATGTTTCTTCTTACTTCTCTGGTTTTCTTAAGCATTTGCATCTTGAATGCTCTCAGGTATTCGATTTGGTTAGATAGCAAGCTAAGATTGCAGCTAGACCCCCTTTTGATCTTGGAGTATTTTCTCTGGCGAAAGGGTTATGAATATGCTATTTCCAATCACTATGACCGGCACTGTGTCTGGGAGGAAGTTGCTCAAAACAAGAAACTAAACAAGTACAATCATAGTATCATAGATGAACAATTTGAAGTCTACAAGGCCGATGGACTAAAAGAATTTGATGCTTCGGATCCTGACAAGCTTCTTCCAAGCAGTATGCTCTTGTCTATTTCAGCTATGGCAATAAAGTTTTCAGCTTAATTATTAACTATTGAGTAAAAATTATTTTTGTGGTGGTGTTGACAGATGTACCCGAAGGATCTTTTATTGTAAGGGCTCATACACCAATGTCCAACTTATTTTCTTGCCTTTGGTTTAACGAGGTCGATCGGTTTACACCTCGTGATCAGCTCAGTTTTGGATATACATACCACAAGCTGAGAAGGATGAACCCCAAGAAACCTTTCTATCTCCATATGTTCAAGGTAAGCAAACTTTTGAGAATGCTTCTTTTGAATAGGCAGACCTTAGATCTTGATGGATCTGATCAGTCTTTTTTATCTATGCTAGTAGTTGCAATAACACATTGCATGGCACACTCATTCACATTTCACTTGTTATATAAAATGTGCTCTTTTCACTGAAGGACTGCGAGAGGCGAAAGATAGCTAAATTGTTCCGTCATCGAACTGACGAGAGGAGGAAGCTGATCTCCCAAAGAGAGATGGAGTAGACTCTGGAGACACTAAATTTTGGTGGATAGTTGATTGATTGATTGATTGAAGCTGGTGTATAAAGACATGCCAATGTGCTATATATTACCTGTAATACATATTGTATAGTGCAATCCCCCGATGAAGAGGGGATACATTTCCAGAACCACGACTTTACAGGCTCCCACTTTATGGAAATTAGAGAAGATCAGCATCGGAGCCTCCATTATGGTTCTTAAAGAGTTAAAGGTTCATTCATTGCCTTCAGCCTACCAGGTGAGGCACCCCCATATCTTTTCACATGTATTTACTATTTACCAATGCCATGGTTCTTGGTGCACTGTATATTTTTTATAAACTGAGTGTCACATTTGTTGTTCATTTATTGATTATGGGCATTTATTCAAACTTTCATAGTTTTATTTGATTAATGATTAATGATATGTTTAGTGATGCTTTTATTCATCCCCTCGTGAATTAATTTTTGGTGGACTTACTATCTCAACTTAAGCAGATGTGGCATCAGATCTTGGAGTTCTCTAGTTTTCAAGGCACTATATAAATTCTGACATAAATTGATATTAACCCTGCTAAACTACTAAAATAGCAGATATGTGTAAATTATACTCGGTATCATGGTTGTAACTTGTAATATCTTGTGACATAAATTACTCTGTGCTTTATTTTACTTATTATGTTTATATTCTAGTCAAATTAATTTTTCATTCTTTACTTATTTTCTTTTAAGTTTTAAAAAATAATTTTTAAATTTCAAATTTTATATTTAATAGTATATTTTCATGTAGTTTCTAAAATTAAGTTAACAAAAAATGTTCGGTTCTTTTTATTTTTATTTTTTATTTTAGTACTATCAATTCTATTACGAGATAGTATTTGCTCCATATACTTTTTTCATCTATTTTAGACCAAAGAGTCAGTACCCCGCTACAAGGGATTTGATCTTTTGGTAACGCTGAAAATGTGATTTTGTTATATCATGAGTTTTGACTATCAATTCGAGTCTAAGAGCATCCTTAAATGGAATTCAAATTCCATGGAAAACAAATTACCAGGGAAATAGATTCCATTGTTTGGTTAGTGGAAAAGAAATTACTGGGAATATGAATTCCATTGTTTGGTTGAGTTTGGAATGGTAAGGAATTATGAATATAAAGACCAATATGCCCTTAACAATAATTTATACATGTGTAGTTAATAAATTTTGATGAGGGCAAAATAGTCTAATATTACTATATTTTCTTCCCAACTCATTTGGAAAACAAAATACCAATGTTTAGGTAGAATTTTCTTTTCCTTCACCTTTGGGAAGTCAAATTCCCATGGAAAAGATTTTTCATCCAACCAAACAAGGTAAAACAACATTTTCCTACATTTCATAGAAAATCTTTTCCATGGAATTTGATTTCCATCCAACCAAACACCCCCTAATAGTTCTCTTGCCTTGTCAAGTGAGAGAGAAGGAAAAAAATGAAGAACTTTCATTATTGCAACATACTCAATCTTTTCTCTCCGACCATCTTTCCCCTCCAAGGGTGGTTTAATATTTGCCATGACCCTCAAAGAAGTTATAAATATGGCCATCCAATAACTTGCTCAAATAGTATATCAACGTCAATAAAACTGTATTAAAGTAAGCAAAAAACATCATTGTTTTAATGCATCTTTAATGATATGAATGCAAATAGAATATGAGGCCTCCACAGTTTTAGGCCTTGCAATTTAACTATAGAGTGATTGAAGTCTTTGATGGTGACTGATGAGTCTTTGTGCAAAATATCACAAAGAAAAAAGAAAAAAAAAAGGATACACAATGGACATATATTAGCAATATTCCATTTAATCTGTAATAAAACGTTGCACATTTTAAAGAGCAAAATTTTCACTGCACCAAGGCCATACACAAATATAATGATCTTCAACCAACCCTCTGCCTGTCAATATGTAGCCAGATATCACTTTCTGTGTAGAGGCTAGAGAACTATACACATAAGAGATTGAAACCGAACAAAAATAGAGCCTGGCAGGTTAAAGCCATGACTACACTTATCGCATAGATTCTTGACGCTTGAGGGGTATGCTTTCAAGATTGATTCCATCTGCTTCTTCATACTTAGGATTGCGAAACGCGAAAGATGGTGAAGAAACTGCAGATCAGATGAGCAAGGTTCATAACTCAATTTCAGTCAAATGTTTTGAGTAAAATAACTATTTGAAAAGGTAACTGGATAAACCTTCATTCAAGTCTTTAGTTTTGTGAAGAAGGAAGGTTCCCGATAGAATGGTGACGAACCCACCAAGCTCCGTAACAATTTGAGTTGCATATTGCCCATTCCAGTCCTGTTCCAGGTGAAAGATATGCAGATGAATGAGAATATTACACTTGATAAAGTTGCAATCTCCAAGAAAATAAAAATTCGAATATGTAATCTCAGGATTAGAAGCAGTAGTTGTACCTTAAACATGATAACACTGGCCACAATTGTTAATGTTGTAAACATTACATAGTATATAGGCGATACAACAGACGAGTTGAATGTATCAAGAGCCTGCACTTCCACAGAAAAGACACATGTTAACCAGAGCTCTGATACCATGTTATACTCTAAGATTGAGCTATAATGCACATAGGCCAAACCACATTAAAAGACTGTAGTCTAGCCCATGACCTTATAAACTCATATATTCTCCCTTATATTTTCAATCTGGGACTCATAACATCTAGAATTTCCACATAAGCAACCACCGCATAATTTCAACTTCAAAGAACAGAGAAATTACAATCACGCTACCTTGTTTAAGTAGTTCACTTGTGTCAGCAAGCACGTAGCTACAATTACTGCAAACGCCCATGTCTGAGGATATACTAACTGATTTGTCCCACCAAACGTTAACTTCAGTGCTATGCCCAATGCTCTGACACTCATTACCTGCAGATCATTTATTAGCGTCCAGAAAGGTAAATACACTCTAGATGATATCAAATAGCGAGTTATTAACAGATATCAAGAAAGAAAAAAGAAATGAATACAGATTACGAACCCCAATCGAGCCCACAAGTGAACACACTCCAACATAAGCCATTATATGAGTCTGCCCGTACTTCGGGAGAAAATAAACAATGATTATAACAACGGCTGCTACTACCATGGTTCCATACAACAAGAAGCCTGTAAAAGGAAAAAACAAATAATTACAGGTTAACAATCTAGTAATATCTGAGTAGAAAAAATCTTAAAATAAATAGGGAAAAATGTCAAATAGGCCATTGAACTTTAGTTGAATAGTCAATTAGCCTCTAAACTTTTTAAAGGTGCAATTACACCCATCAACAATTTATTTTGATGCAATGAAGCTCAAAAACCGGTTATCACAGGTCATTAGGGTTCCGGCAACCTGCTGACCTAATGATCTGCTATCACAGGTCATTAGGGTTCCGACAACCTGCTGGCGAGATTCCAACAAAATTTCAGGCAACAAAGTGATTGGAGACCGGCAAACGGTTAACTTCTCTGTAGAGAAGGTGACCACAGTGGTTGCCTTCTCTACGGAGAAGGCGATCTTAGTCTCCTTCTCCATGACCGGCGACCGTTCGCTGATCGCCGGTCACTTTGACCCTTTTCCCAAATAAATATCATTTTTTTCATTATTTAAAATGATAAGTAAACATATCATTAATAGGCATCTGGTACTCAATAAAGTTCCCTAACGTGACATAAACTGCTTACCTAGAGGTTTATCAAATTGTTTTTTAAGTAGTATTATTGAAGTAAAATATTTGAGCATATTTTGATTATTTTCTCCTCGTGAATATGTACCTGGCTCAGTAGCAAGATCCCAGAGTTCCTGCACATTCTCAATTTCACGCTCTTGTGGGGCATGTAGAACTATGATAGTTGAACCCACGATGCATAAAACGCAACCAACAATACCAAAAATGTGTAGTCTCTCCCCTAAAATCATATGTGCAAGTATAGCACTGCAGGAAGATTTAATTCAACAACTAGACTGCAGAAATCAAAAAAAAAACATTTTTCTAACCATTCTCTTGCCTGATAATAATACTCAGTGCACCGAGGGGAGTTACTAGTATAGCTGGAGCAAAAGCATAAGCAGCAAAATTTGCTATTTCTCCAACAATCACTGCCAAAAAGACATACATTCGTATTAGCCAAATGCATAGAGAACTGAATTGGGGAAAAGAAGGCAATATATTGGTTCATTGGTTGTTTCATTTTATGTAGTAAAACAAAATATAGAACTCTGTAATTCAAGAGGAATCCATCAACTATTCCTTTCCTATTGCCGCCTAGATCCCATGTGTTGTGCAGAGGCCGGTGAAGGGCCAAGTCCAGCACCAAGTGGCTAGGGGGATTGTTGGACGGAAGCTTGAAGGGCCAAATTCAGCACCCTGCCTCTCGAAAATGTGGCAGTACGTTAGAAGTGAATAGGTTAGGGATGTGAAGGGCCATGACATATGAAAAGTCCTGGGATGTGAAGGGTCTTCTACAGTGTGTTTAGCATGTATATATATGGCAGTGTGTGTAGTTGAAGGAGAAGAAGTAAGAAATAATAGGGAGTACTATTTCTTAACACAGTATAAGGACATAAAGTTGCGTCTTAGCTACAAGCTATAGCTTTTGGCATAGTGGTAAGCGCTTGATCCTAACACTTTTGGCGTAGTGGTAAGTGTTTGATCCTAACACCATGGTAGGCATGGGGCTCATGGAGATGTAAACCTTTAAAACTCATTGAAGCAGCAAAAGCTTGTTGTTTTGAAGACGTATTATTGAAGCATACAAGCAACATAACCAGTTGTACTATATGAGCTACTCGGTTTCTCTTTATTACAACTCAAAAACAGCGGGACTAGTAGTTCATAAAGTAGAAGAGATTTTTAAACAAACAAAAAAAGAACCCACTTGTTACCATTCCAGCCCACCAAAGCGGCTCCAATAAGTAAGAATAGCCTCCAGCGCCTGCCACAACAACACCAGAATAAGTGACCACTAGTTGCACATTTGCACCAGACGTAACAAAATTCAACAGTGTCTTGCATTATTTTAAGCAACACAAAGACATTGACAAACTTTTGACATAGGCCCTGTTTGGTAAAACAGTTAGCCTGTCAGCCAATTTTGGCTTAGCTGACCATTATTAGTTGCTTGACTTTGTTAAACAATCAATATGAGTGTTTGATTAATTAGCTTTTTGTAACAACTTATTGCTCCAAAATGCTAAAATTTAAAAAGCTGCTCAAAGTAGCTTTTTTCTATCAACTTTTTGAGAAGGTCGTTTTGTATGTAATCAGCTATCAGCTAACAGCTAATTTACCAAACATTTTTCTACAATCAGCTAATGCTATCAACTAGTCAAACCCACTAATCCAATCAGCTAACACAGCACCCCCATTGTAAGCCTAATGCTATCTAAACCAAAGAAATAGTCTTATTCCTATCAGCTTACTTTATATTGGCAAAACTGGTGATATGATAATAAAATAAAGTTCAATTTAATTGTTTCTATGTTGTTTTAACCTATCAAAAAACAGTGTTCTTAGCAGCATTCAGACCTCTTGCGCTTAATCCTAGCAAACTTTATGTCCATTCAATTCAAACACAGTACACCAAAACTTATTTCAACTCACAGAGAATGAGAGAACACACAAAGGTTTCAATTTGAAGAAAGAAACAGTATATAATATAGCTACCTGCCCTAAGACCAGATCCAGAACCAGCCTTCTTGAGTCCCTTCTTCTTGACAATGAAGCTAGACCCAATGAAGAAACTGGATGAGATAGCCAAGACCAGACCTTTGATGTTGTCTGCAGACATACCCTCTTCTATTTACTACTAGTATAGATTCTTCAAATTAAAACTCAGAGCTCCAAGACAGCCTTTTTCATTCCACTTCTTCATACCCATACCCATTTCTGTGAATGGGTACTTGAATCCATCACTCTCTTGAATTTCTACACTATTATGGAGAGGAAAATGGACACACACAAAAAGTCAGTGGGGCAAAGTGGAATTTATGGGCATTTATAGAGGAAGGTAGTAGTGAAGAAAAAAATGAGTCTGATCGATTACCGATCTGTGGAGCAGGAGAGAGAGAGAGAGATAGAGAGAGAGAGAGAGAGAGAGCAGGGTCCTTGTCTCCTTGATATAGTGTTAGTACTTAGTACAGTGGAAAAGAAAGTCTGCTTTTCTTGGATTGACAGAAGTGAGAATCTGTTGAAAGGTGGGGTTTTGTTGTGCAAGTGAAGTTGTGGAGTGAGTAATAAAAATCTATTGTTTTCCTGTAGATCTTTCTGATCTTGTTTTCAGAAATCAGATTTGTTTATGCACTTGGCATCAAAGTCAACTTCCATTTTTCATGACTTCAAGATTCTCATTCATATTAAATGTGTACTTTCCAGTGTATGTCTTATGTGCTTAATATTTTATTATAATTAAAGAAGGATTAACTTTTCTTTTATGTATAAGAAAGCATACAATCACTCTCTTAATCAATGTTGGCTATATTTGAACAACTTAGTTGAAAAGGTAGTTAAAAGCTGAAAATGAGCTAAAAATTGAAAAGCTATAAGCTGAGAGCTAAAAATTGAATAACTGTTAAGCTAGATGTTATGCCTAAAAATGTTTTGATAAAATTAATTTTTTTGATAAATTGATAAAAGTAAAAAGACAATAAAAGACATCTTCATAAAATTTATATTAGTTTGTTTACCTATCAAAATTTAACATTTTATCTTTTTAAAAAATTAATATTTTAAAATAAAACTATTAGCATAATCATGATCTAGCATCCTATAATAAAATAACAATATTGTTGTGAATCTCATTCATATAATAATAATAATAATAATAATAATAATAATAATAATAATATAATAATAATAATAATAATAATATTTGCAATGAAAGTTGCGAATAACGGAGGGGAGAAAAGAGTTTTAATTGGGAAAGGTAAAAAATGTCATTTTTTTTAAATAAAAAGAATAAAGATGGAAAAAAAATTAGAAAGCTCCTAACTTATTTTGAGAACATTACCAAACATAGCTTATAGCTTATTAATAGCTTAAAATAAACTATAAGCTTCTACATAAGCTCTGCCAAATAAACCCGTTATGTCCATTTTTTTTATACAATAATTTATAATAATAATGAAATAATGACATAATATATTGTTTCATTATTATTATTGTGTGGGTCGACCCGATCATTGGCGGGTCAGAAACCCGCCCCAGCCCCCAAAGACACACCTAGCTAGCTCAGGGCGATAGAGGAGAAGTGAATGATGCAAGTTTGAGAATTGAAATGAGGGAAATTCCTATCGTTCTCTATTCTCAACCTCAATACTGTTATCCAATTCCTTATCTTCCACGCTCATCCTTTTTCACCTCAATCCCAAAGCCAAGCCTCAAACCCAACACTCTTAAACTCAAATCCTTTTCGATCTCTTCTTCTTATGATAATGTTGGAATTAGGGAAGCCCCATTGTCGTCGGAAGAAAGCGGGACTAGCAGAGGTGTAAATTGTAAGAATTCAAGGAAGAAGAGGGTGTTTTTTTTGGATGTCAATCCTTTGTGTTACAATGGATGCAACCCTTCTTTGCAGTCTTTTGCTCATTGGGTCTCCCTGTTTTTCTCCCAAGTCAGCCATAGCGACCCTGTTATTGCTGTATGAAATCTCCCTCTTTCTTCCACTTTACCCTTTTCAAAGAATGTGTATAATTTAATTATGGTTCGGTTAATGAGAATTAACTAAGTTATTTATAATTCATTTTTCATAATAGTTTAATATTAATATATAAACTTTAGAAATTACACCAAAAGAAAGTACTATTAAAAGCAAGTTCTTTTTTTTTTTTTTTTTTTTTTTTTTTTTAATGCACTCTATTATAATGTAGTTGGTCATATATACTTTCTCAGCCTATGAAGTACAGAGAGTCAATGCTGAACCTGAGACCTCTCATTTAAGAAGCCACACAAGGCTTTTGGCCCAAAAAATTAAATTTAAGATAGGTAAAATGTGATAAGAGGAGTACCATTTAGTCAATAGAGTGAAAACTATACATTTAAGATATTTTAAACTAAATTTGGTTGTTTTAAAATAGTTGAAGGTCTATATTTGTTCAAATTAATAGTAGATGACTAAGTATGAAATATCTTACTAACAAAAAGAGGTATTACCATGAGCACATACACACATATTTATTGTGTCTAAACTCTAAAGGGGAGTGATAAAACTGCATTCTGTACTATTATTGTTCAGTAATTGCATAAAGTAGGGATCTTGTTATGGTGAGGTGGGTGAGGCTTTGTTATTAACTGGATGATAAAGTGAGGACTTTATATGCTCTTACTGACATCATCAGGAGTTAATTCGTTTCTATTAAAATCTGATGCCAAGGTATTCAAGAATCTTAACTAGGTTATCTGTTACTTTTGTAGGTTATTGATGGGGAAAGAGCTAATGAGTACCGCAGGAAACTATTGCCCACATATAAAGCACATAGGAAGAAGCTCTTGGGTTCAACTTCTAAAAGATTTACAGCAGTTGAAAGATCACATAAACTCGTCTTGGATGTTCTTAAGAAGTGCAATGTGCCTGTGAGTGAAACTTTTTTTTTTTTTTTTTTTTTTTTTTTTTTTTCTAAAGAAGTTAATATTTTTGTTCGTTTGAGGATACACGTTTACAAAATCAGTCTCCACTGGATATAGTGTAAATAGGAAAGGAATTGATAAAGCAATATTACGTGGAGTAGTGTCATGGAGTTGCTGCTTAGTGTGACTTTTCTCACAACATATGTATATTTAGTGGCATAGAACCATAATTTGGTGCTTGATTTTATTCAACTTTTTTTCTTTCTTATCATTTCTCTTTAAATGAAAAGCTGGTAGCTGTGTTATGCCCAAACCCCAGATTTAGTGCTACAAAGTAGATCATTGAGCCTAGATTTATTTGCTAACAGGATAGGAAATTATAATCTGAGAGTTTCAACCGAATATATGGTGCAATGGTGAGAACTTTCATGTTTTATGTTGAATTGTTTATAGTAGTAATAGTACCCCGCTAGCTTCAATTGTTACTCTATCAGATTGCTGCTAACCAGAGCCCAATAAAGTTGCGTGTTAAAATGGATTAAGTTTTTGCATGCATATATAAGTAGTTTCCTTTGTTTATAATTTCAGTTTGGCATCTATCTGGGATTATTTGTGTAATCAGCCTTGATTTTGACCTTGACTTCCTTGTGTTGGACAATATTCCAATAGTGAAAAGGATTATTTTACTCTAGATTGTTGAGAAGTTATTTTTTAAGGACTTCACTTTAACGAGGCTCACAATTCAGGTTGTTAAACTTGAGTCTCACGAAGCAGATGATGTTGTAGCTACACTTGTGGGACAAGTCCTACAGAAGGGGCTTCGAGTTGTAATTGCTTCACCAGACAAAGATTTCAAGCAACTGATATCTGAAGATGTCCAAATCGTGGTTCCTGTGCCAAACTTAAATCGATGGTCATTTTACACCCTCAAACACTACAGAGCTCAGTATAATTGTGATCCACAATCTGACTTGAGTTTGAGTAAGTCATGCTTTTTGTTTGTTATTTGTTACTTTACAATTTACATAGTGTATTATTGTTATTGCTTTGAGTTCCCATTCTGAACTTATCTAATATGGTCTTTCATGAACAAAAGATAACCAAATTCCTTTTGTTGTGAGAGCGAATGGCAGAGGCACTCCATTTTGCCCCGCTGTCCTCTTTTTTCCCTTGGGGAAGTGGGATGCGGAGGACAGCAAGTGTTAATCGAGTGCCTTTATCAGTCTATAATTTCGTGAGTGATCCATTAATGTTGATGAACTCCATCTTATCCAATCAATGGTTTTAAAGAAATCAATTAAAAGCTTCACCAAGAGAGAAATAATATAAAAGCATGTGTTCTTCCTTCTTAATTTGCAGAATTCCCTGGAAATTCTTTACACAATTTTTTAGAAAATCTTCTTCCACCAATACTAACCTTCACAATACATTATTTTTGTTATGTGAAAACACTGGGTTTGCTTGAGATCCAATACTGAGTTAATACACACACAGTTTTTGTTTTTGTCTCTTTTTTTTTTTTTTTTTTCTTGATTTTTTGGGTACCAAACTACCAACATAGTATTTTCTGACAGATGCAATCCTCTAGACTTGAGTACACTTCTCTCTCTTGATCTCAACCTGTGGAAAGATAGTGTTTTTAATGATAACCATGATAAGATAATTACAATTCTCTTCAACTTTTCTATTTCACTATTTATTTGCAGAAGTCAAATCCTTTTTGTCAAAGGAAGTGTTTGGAAAATCATTTGACTAGATTCAGTTTGAGCCACTTCCCCTCCAGTTTTGTTATTATTTAAAATTTTTTCAAAACCTGAACTAGACTTGGCGCAATTTAGTGTTCATTTGGATGTAACCCATGTTAATGGGATTAAACTACATATAACTTTACGTTGATTGTCTTTGGGGACAGCAAAATGCTTCATTGAAAAGTTTTATCTAAGATCATAGTGGTGGAATAGGAAATTCAGGGATGAGGATCAGTGGGAGCTTAGGTGTGAGTGCTAATCTTTGGCTCATCTCTCCTGACACTATAATCAAAGTGTTTGATATCTGTTGTGTTATTCATTTACCTATTGAGGCTGTTGCCATTAGGATGCATTTTGGGTGATGAAGTTGATGGGGTTCCTGGCATTCAGAACGTTGTTCCTAGTTTTGGTCGAAAAACTGCACTAAAGCTCTTGCAAAAGCATGGGAATCTTGAAAACTTACTTGCTGCTGCAGCGGTAAGAACTGTGGGTAGAGACTATGTACAAAACGCCCTTACACAGTATGGTGATTATCTACGTAGAAATTATGAAGTCCTCTCTCTGAAGAGGTGAGAATTTTCTCTTGTTTAACATTTTCACTTTTAAATTCTTTTATATATAATCTGTGCTCCTATCATCATACCGCCTGTCCAATCTAATTGTACTTTAAGTGACAAATTGCAGTGATGTTGATGTTCGAATTGATGACAACTGGCTATCTGAGAGACACACTGGTAATGATTCGGTAATTTTATCAAATTTCATTGACTTTCTGAAAGGAAATCAGACAGGTCTCTGACGTTTAAGCTCTTCTAGTGCAACTTCTCAAGGTACACGCACAATGATCTGCATTTTCTCTTCCTTTAATTTGCTAGAATTACGCTTTGTCGCTTTCACTCACTATCCAAAAGCACATGGGAAACATTTTTTTTTCACGAGGTTTAACGTGGGCATTGATTGTTAATAGTTACTGCATTGGCTGAAACCTTAGTATCTACAAATATATAGACCCGGAGTTGCATATTTATGACTCCATAGTAATTAGTATGTACATTCTTTGACCACCGTTGCAACTGGCCTAACAGATGGTAGGCATGGTTGAAACCACTGCCGTGGAGGCTCTTATAGGCATCACAGAGGTGATCCCTTTTGTCTTTGAGGGAACAGATTTACGATCACAAGTGACACCGGGAAGATGGGTGTTATAGGCCTAAGTTCTCAAAGAGGGGTATGATCATTTTTCGTCCTTCGTTTTGACTTATCTACGGGCCAATTTCGTTCTGGTATCTCACTATCTCTACACTTGTATGGATAAGAAAATCTGCTTTAGTAATTATAATTGTTCACTACCAAGAATTTCCATGATTTTGTTAATTTCTTTGCAGAATTGGAGGAAGAAGAATCAATGATTCCTGGAGAATGGTGGACTTTCTCTTATGATGTTGTGCCTTTTCATTTTTTTTTTTTTTTTTTTTAAATTTAAAATTTCAAGTGGTATGTATGATTGTTAGAAGAGGAAGGGGATATGTGAGTCAAACCAATCTCGAGAGTGATACTCTTTTACAGCACTTTTAGTTCCCGGAATGAATTTTGAAGTAATAGCAATGCTATTATAGTAGTAGACTATTACATGATGTGATGTGGTAGATTGCATGATAGGGTAATTGGCGATGTGGTGTAATGTATGAGTCTAATTTGTTATCAATGTAAAATGTGGTATATTATGAAATTTTAAAATGTGCAATTAAACTTTCTTACTTATTAAAATTGATCAAATAAGTCTAATTTACTAGTAATCAACCGATAAAGTTATGCTATTGACCACCATTGATAACGTGTTGATGGATTTTAATGCACGAGTATAACATGGTGATCATGTAGATGGGCTTGACTGCACCTAAAAAGAAAAATAGACCCTCAAATTTTATCTAAAAAGTCAATTAAGCTCCTAAATCTTTTAAAGTAGTAATTAAACTCATCAACATTTTATTTTGGAGCAACAAAGCTCACGGGTTGCTAAGGTTCTGGCAACAATTTGACGAAGCTCCAACCTACACCGATACTATTTCTGATAACAAAGCGATCGGCGAATTTTCGATGACAAAGCGACGGGCGAACAGTTGCGTGGTCGCCATTGAAGAAGGTGGCCAGGGCCACCTTCTTCAATGGAAACCGATCGCTTTGTTATCGGAAATGACGGTGGACTAGGTCGGAGTTTCGCAGGAGGGTTGTCAAAATCCTAGTGATCTGCGATAGCATGTCACTAATTGATTTTTGAGTTTCATTGTATTAAAATAAAATGTTGATATGTTTAATTACAACTTTAAAAAATTTACGAGCTTAATTGACTTTTCAAATAAAGTTGGATGGTCTATTAGGAAGGCTTCTAACAATTTTCTATTTCATCATTTTCTCTTTATTATATATAAGTGGCAAGAATTATAATTTTCCTGGGACATCCCCAATAGTAGATCTTTCATGATTTTTTAGAATAAAATAGCCAACATGAAAGAGAGAGAGAGATGGGGAAGGAGTTCCTCTGCAAGGAGGAGTTTTTCGCAGAAATGTGAGACCCACGACAGAACAAGCAAATCCAAGCCGCCCACACGTGAATGTCAAAATTGCGTATATATGGCGCTATTTAGTTTTTTTTTTTTTTTTTTTTTGAAATCAACCTTGTTTTGTTTCTTTTTTCCTCTTTTCCTCTTTTTTTTTTTTTTTTTTTGAAAATACTACATCTACTCCATTTTTTACTTCCAACTTTTACTCTCAAACGTAAAATCTTAATATAGACACTTGTATTAGAACCCATATGAAAAAAGTAGCCTATCAGTATGGTCACATTAAGAAATATGATTTAAAAGTCTATATAGTAGAAACTCTCATTTTTTCTCCCTTCCCAAAAATCTTCAAGAATTAAAAAAAAAAAAAAAAAAAAAAAAAAAAAACTATTGAATGTTGGGTAAAAAGTAAAGAACGGTAAATGATGTCATATCGTCGAACTTTATGCTTTGAACGTTGTACCTTTCTCTTGCCTTAACCGGTTAACCGTAATGTTACTAACAGTTTTCACGGACATTCACATTCACATTGAGAATGGTCTAGAGAGAGAAAAACGGATAGATAGATAGATACATACATACACTCTCATACAGATATAGAGCGAGCAAGAGTGAGAGAGAGAGAGAGAGAGAGAGGAGAATGTTGCTAATGATACAGTCTTCTTCCATATCTCCTCCTTTGCAGCACCTTAGCAGCGCTAGTAATACTACGGTTCTTGTTCCAAGACTAACGCCTAACCATAAGCTGCAAACTATTTCTCTCACTATCCACAAACACAATGAGTTCCGATTATCAGCATCTCCCTCCGTTTCTTGCCGCTTTCCGAGAACACCCGCCAAGCGTTCTTCATTCCGGGTGTGAATATTCACTGTATTTCAGGTTTTTAGCTTAAGATTTGATGTTTAGTTACTGCTTTGGAGTCCTGCCCGCAAAGTGTTTGATGCTAAATTTTTTTACTTTGTTTAAGTTTATGTTAGACTCTGTTGTCTGCCGCGCAGTTTATGAATCTTACTCCTGTTTTGAGGTCAATTTGACGGAATTTCAGCTCAAACATATTATACCCGTCAGGGGATGTAGGTTTTTTTTAGAAAATTTGGTTAGATTTGGTTGGTGCTTAATTACTCGCTTTAACCGTTTAGCTTTGCATGCTTGTCAGACAGCTTAAATTTGGGTAGTGCAAGGTTATTCAGGAGGGGGATGGATAAAATATTCCATTTTGTGGAGTGGATATTACTTACTAACTGTTGAAAGAGTTTACTACATTTAATTTGAAAGTGAGGGGATATACTATATATAAGTGACCAGTATTATATTAATAAAAGATGGGCAAAACCGGGGGCAACCCCAGCCAAGTTCGTTAGGGTGTTGATTTGGTAACCATAAGACTACAAGTTTGAGCAGTCTATTGCCTTCTTGGTTTTAGCCAGTCAGCTATGAACAACCTATGTTGGTTTATCTCCTTCTGGTCCTTTGTCGTTCTGACATTGTGAAGTTGATGTTAGCTACTTAGCTTAGAGCTCTAGAAGTATTAATATTTTAAACTTTTGTTGCATCCCTCTCCCTTTCCACAATGCTGAACCATGTTAATAAGCAAATTATGAATTCATACTGAAACTATTGTGATGCTTGTAAGTTATTTTACTAGACATTCCTGAGGTCTCCTCCTTTGCGTACCTAACAGTTTCTCTTATCATTCATCCATGCAGGTTTTTGCACGGAAAATGGAAATATTTCCTTTAGCTTCAAAAGACCTTGAGGGTAATTTATCTTTCTGCATCTAAATCTTGTTTAAAAACATTTTCTTAGTGATCATGTGCAGTAGTAATACCTGTTCTCGATCTGTGTTTACCAAAAGTGGTCTAACTTGTTTTGCTGTGGACCACCCTTCTTATCGTTGGTATTCATGCATTTCCCTATTCAAATTGATACATGATCAAATTTCATTACTGAAAGAGTGAACTGCTCACTATGAAAACTGAAAAGGGTAAGAAATTTTGCTACAATTTCATAAGGTACAAAACATAGAACTCAATTTGAAGTGTAAAAGTTTCAAATTCGTGACGAGTTTAATTCCAGATGATGTAATTAGTTTCAAGATAGAGAAACATACTTGTCAAAATTGCAGGGTAGAGAACTATAGAAGTTTCAACTAGCTTCACTGTCCCATCTTTAGAAGATTTTTTCTTCTTAATCTAAATAAATAGATATCTTATTAGGAAGCAAATGGATCCTCTGCATGTGATTTAACAATTTGTATTGTTTGCTTCAAGATACTTGATACATTCAATTATTTTATATCTGATTAACATGATTTTGTGACATTGGTAATCAATAAAGACCTGAAACCAACCTGCTGAACAATATTCATGTGAGATGGTATAATGTAAATTGAGATGCAGTCCTTTGGGTTTGTGAAATTGTTTTGAATTAGTTTAATTTGGAACTTAAGTTGTATATTAAACACTCCCTAACAAAATTGCAGTCTTTTTCTTGCAGAATCCTCGCCAGACTTATTAACTGTTGAAGATATTACCAGTGTGAATAGACCATTTCTATTTATATCTGCTTTCTCATATGGGTCAATTTTGTGGTTGACATCTGCACAAGTGTCACATGCCAGTGAAGGTGTCAATGTGAATATGGTTTACGAGGTTGGGGAGTTATTTGAACTGGGGATCCAGCTTACCTACCTGCTTTTGCTACTAGCACTGCTGGGAGCTGGAAGTTTCTTTGTCATTCGCCAAGTCCTTGTCCGTAGAGAGCTTGATCTTTCTGCTAAAGAATTACAAGTAAGTACTCTGTATCAGATAATTCAAAGATATCTGTTCCTATAGTTCGACTATCAGATTTGATTCTTGAACTTGCATGTAAAGCAATTCTGGTTTCACTTTTGAAAATACCTCCATTTCGGAAGCTATTTAAAGTGAAGGATCCGGTGCTAAAGGATCAATGGAGGGTAACATAATAATGTTAAGGGACTAACTGTACTCACTTTTGCATTCATGGTTTTTGACTGTCGACTGATTCAAAGAAGAGGGACCAAAACTCCAAAAGTGGAAAAGAAAAACCCTAACGTGAACTAATTAATTTATTTCTTGCACTGCCCATCCATTTTGAAATAGATCTTCTTCTTTTTCTTCCTCTGGATACCATGTTGTTAAAGATCTTTTTTTTTTTTTTTTTTTTTTTTTTTTAAATTTTTTTTTTTAAAATTTTTTATTTCATAAAGAACTTGGTGAGGAACTCATGTTAATTAGATGCAGTTTGCTTTACCTTTGGTGGCTCTGGGGCCAAGATTTGGATTGTATCAAGTCCAGTGCCACCACTTCTCCATGCTCTATAACTAGATTTTGCATAAACATGACTCACACCATTCAATCAAATTACATAGCCACTATCTGCCTGAGATCCAAATATCCAATTACAAGTGGTTTTTGGGCTAACATCAATGAATTGCCTGATCTTTAGAATTTAGATTGACATATCTTATTGTTCTGTCCCAGAATTTTAAACATAAATTGTCAATTATACATATTTGGAAACTCTTAAATTATTGTGTTCTGTGTGTGTGTGTGTGTACGCTTGCCATTTGTGTATGGTGATAGAGATGAACATGCACATAATGTGATTTTGAAATGAATCTCAGGAGCAAGTTAGAAGTGGTGATGCAAGTGCGACGGAGCTTTTCGAACTTGGAGCTGTTATGCTGAGAAGAAAATTTTATCCAGCTGCAACTAAGTTCCTGCTTGAGGCTATTGATAAATGGGATGGAGATGATCAGGATCTCGCCCAGGTATGTTGTTGCTTTACAGCATCAGTTATCCTTAATTTTCGAACGAATGATATGTGATAATGAGGTTAATATACATGTTCACTTCCATGCTCATATGTTTTTCATCTCACTGGCTAAAACGTATCTTAACATCATTTCTTGAATAAGAAAGGAAAAAGGGAAAATATGACCAATAAGTGTGTTTATCTAATCAAGTAATTGGAATGATATTACGCCTTGGAACTCTATCAAAAGGTTTTGTATTAAATTGCTAAATACAGTGACTTGTTTGAATACATGAGACAAATATAATGTGTGTAATTTGTACCTCTAATCTGCAGCACTTTCTACATTGATATTGTGCTTGAAAGTTCTCTTTCTTTATCTAGACAGAGTGTAGTGACCACAAACATTTATTCATTAGGGAAAGCAACACTTTCGCCCCTGAATTGTTTCACTTTTAGAAATTTGATCACTGTTAATTGATTTAGACATATTTAGTCCCTTAATTCTTCATTATGTTGCACTTTCAGTCCCTTGTGTTATATAATCATCAAACTCCGTTAGCAAACTCTTTTTATGAGGTTATGTTTGTCGTTTAGAATCAATATCTATGATAAAAGTTTCATTCTCTCCATGTGAACACCATTTTTAACAGTGAATATTGATTCTAAATGGAGTTTGACATTATGAACAATTAAGGAGCTAAATTTATTTAAATTAACTTACAGGGACCAAATTTCCAAAAGTGAAACAATTCAAGGGTCAAAAGTGGCCATTTTCCCTATTCATTATCATTGCCTCAAGACTTACTTTTCGTGTGTACATGGAGATGAAACGAATTACAACAACCTGCATGTCTTCTAATTCAACATTTTTTTTTTTTCTTGAATGAATGTTTTGGCAGGTTTACAATGCTCTGGGTGTGAGTTATGTTCGGGAAGGGAAAATTGATAAGGGAATTGCCCAATTTGAGACTGCTGTAAAGATCCAACCAGGTTATGTGACTGCCTGGAACAACCTTGGGGATGCCTATGAGAAAAATAAAGACATGAAGAGTGCTCTTAAAGCATTTGAAGAAGTTCTACTTTTTGACCCTAACAATAAAGTAGCACGTCCTAGGCGAGATGCATTGAAGGATCAAGTAACAATGTACAAAGGAGTTTCCGTTAAGTCAAAGAAGAAATGAGTTTCCTGTAGTGTTTATTCTGCATTTTCTCCCTCCTTTGAGGATTGATTGCATGACTCTGAACTTGTACAGGGATTCTGGATCTCATGAAAGAGGATGAGTTTTGTTGGTTAAGGAATCTCTCTATATATTTTCATATTTAGGCATAAGATGCAGCTTCAGTCAGCGGTGAAACCTCTCTTGCGTCGTCTCTCATGGTTGCACATAATTCTCCCTTGTCTCACGACCAAAAGGAATGCCCTTATTCTATTTGGAACCTTGAGTTTCTATGTCTTTGACCAGACCTTAGAAAAATTAGTTAAAAATGACATTGAAAGTTATCATTTTCAGTTAGGTCCACTTTTTATTTGAGTCAGATTAGAATGAATTGAGATTTTCTGAGAGATTTAATTTGATATATTATACACTCAAAATGGATAATTGGTGAACAAGAAATGATTATCAAAATATATTCGATTATTTGAATAGAAAAAAATGGACTTAAAAAAGATTTTAAGTAGTCTTTATTTTACATTAGGAATGATGTGAGTTTGCACTATTAGGACTTTATGTATATGAGTCTGTTTAGAACTTCTTATCCTTGTCACACTGTGACTCTCTACTTCTTATCATTGTCACACTGTGACTCTCTATTCTATATATTCACATCATCTGATCTCATTGCAATTAAGTTCAGAAAATATAATACAATCAGTTCTCATCTGGTATCAGTTAGCTAGGGTTTTGTGATTCATAAAATCAAGAAGATGCAGCGCTGCGATGGCAACCTTAATTACCGTGGAGGTCAGCAACGTGGCTTCGATGATCCATGTCAAATCTGTAAAGGTTTCGGCCACACAGGAGTCAATTGTTTTTGGCGCTATGATGATCCGTGTCAAATTTGTAAACGTTTTGGTCACACGGGAGCCAATTGTTTTTGGCGCTATAATGATCCGTGTCAAATTTGCAAAAGTTTCGGTCACACGGGAGTCAACTGTTTTCGGCGATATTCAGGGGCTCCGGGTTCTCAGGCTAATTTGGTGTTTCAGAATGGTTTAGTTGCTAAAACCTCGTCAAATTCTCATACTTGGGTTCCGGACACTGGAGCCACAAATCATGCAACTCCAAACATCGCTGCCCTTTCTACAACGGAGAAGTACACTGGTAATGACACTTTACGTGTCGGTGACGGTATGGGTTTATCTATTAGTCATGTTGGCCATGCCTCTTTTAATACCCCTTCTAGATCATTTACATTGTCTGATATACTTCACGTTCCGCGTTTGTCTAATTCTTTATTATCTGTTCAGAAGTTTGCATCCGATAATAAAGTCTTTTTTGAGTTTCACCCCTCCTTTTTTGTTGTGAAAGATATCAATACCAAGGAAATACTTCTTCGGGGCAATAGTTCGGGGGGACTATACACACTTTCATTACCTAGTTCGTCTCCGTTAGCGTTTATTTCCGTTCGTGCCTCGGCTTCCACTTGGCACAATCGTCTGGGTCATCCTCATAACCGTGTTCTTAGCCATATACTTCGTTCTTGTTTGGTTAGTGGGTCCCGTGATAATATTCGTTGTCATAATTCTTTATGCAATGCGTGTCAATTAGGCAAATCTGCCCGTTTTCCCCTCCCCCGTGTTGCTTCCTCTAGTTCTCAAGTCCTAGATCTTATTTACACAGACATTTGGGGTCCTGCGCCCACTTTATCTACTTCTGGCTTCCGTTATTTTGTGATCTTTGTGGATGACTATTCCCGTTATACATGGTTCTTCCCTATGAAATTAAAGTCTGATCTTTATGTCATCTTTGATAAATTTCGTACTCTTGTTGAACGGTCCTTTAATTGCAAAATAAAGGCCATTCAGTCTGATTTAGGTGCTGAGTACAAAAAGTTGCATTCTTTGTTTGTTCAATTAGGAATTCAACATAGACAATCCTGTGCCTATACACATGAACAGAATGATCGTGTTGAACGAAAACATCGTCACATTGTTGAAACTGGTCTGGCTCTTCTAGCTCATGCCTCTGTTCCTTTGAAATTTTGAGATTTTGCCTTTGAGACTGCTGTCTATTTAATTAACAGAATGCCATCTTTTGTATTAAATAACTCCAGTCCTCATCTCCTGTTATATAAATCCCCTCCTTCCTATCTTTTTCTTCGTGTCTTTGGGTGTTTATGCTATCCTCATCTTCGGCCATATAATCGTCATAAGATGTCATACAGGTCTTCTCCATGTGTCTTCCTAGGTTATCCTGAGTCCTTTAGGGGGTACAGATGCATGGACTTACATACTAATAAGATTTACACATGCAGGCATGTCATATTTGATGAAGAAGTTTTCTCCTTTGCTACTAAAATTTCTTTACAGGATCTATCTACTCCGTTTTCTGGACCTTGGGCGGAATCTGTTCTCAGTCACAGCACACCTATTCCTGCCGTGTCCAATGATGAGCTGCCAGAACCGCCGCTACCTGCTTCATTCGAACCAGCCGTGGATCCCGGACAGGCTGCCTCGTCAGGTGATCCTGTGGAGCCTGTTGCTCGCCGGCGAGGCCGTCCACGTGGGCGGTCCATCAGGCCCAATGTTCGTACTCACTCAATGGCCACTCGCAGCAACACAGATGCTCCTCTTTTTGCACTAGCAGCTCAAGTGCATCCCACGGAACGCACATGTTACTCTCAAGCTGTCAAATATCCTGAGTGGCGTGAAGCCATGGACCAAGAATTCAATGCTCTCCTGCATAACCACACATGGTCTCTAGTTCCACCCACTGCAGGTATGAATATTATTGGCTGTAAATGGGTGTTTCGTACGAAGAGAAAGGCTGATGGTGCTATTGAAAGGCATAAAGCCAGGCTGGTTGCGAAAGGTTTTAATCAGGTTCCAGGTCAGGACTTCTTCGACACTTTTAGTCCAGTGGTAAAGCCTACGACTGTAAGACTCCTTCTATCTCTAGCTTTATCATCTGGGTGGTCTATCAAACAGCTAGATGTTCATAATGCTTTTCTGAATGGTAATCTGGCTGAAACAGTTTATATGAAGCAACCCCCTGGTTATATTGATGCTAACTTCCCGAATCATGTTTGTTTGTTAAAAAGATCTCTGTATGGGTTAAAACAAGCTCCCAGAGCTTGGTTTAATCGACTACATACGTTCTTACTATCGGTTGGCTTTCAAGCATCCAAGACAGATGTCTCTCTGTTCTATTACTCTAAAGACTCTGCTTTGGTTTATCTATTGGTGTACGTGGATGACATTCTTGTAATGGGAAGTGATCAGGGTATTATGTCTCAGCTCTTGTCCAAACTGTCTGCTACATTCAAAATCAGAGATCTTGGTGAACCAAATTTTTTTCTGGGTATTGAAACAGTTAAGAGTGACAATGGGATTATTTTATCTCAACAACGGTATATGAATGATATTTTAAAACGGGCTGGAATGTCTGAATGCAAACCCCTTTCTACACCTATCTCTGTCTCGAAAACTGTCCCCTTCAATTCAGATCTATATGATGATCCCACACAGTACAGGAGTCTAGCTGGAGCACTACAATATCTCACTGTCACACGACCTGACCTATCCTTTGCAGTTAATCAGTTATGCCAGCATATGCATGCTCCCACCATATCACACTGGGAGCAGCTCAAACTGGTACTCAGGTATGTTAAGGGAACATTTGATCATGGTTTACGCATACGACGATGCTCATCTAGAGACATTCATGCTTTCTTTGATTCTGATTGGGCTGGTTGTCCTGACGATCGAAAATCCACGAGTGGTTTTGGTGTTTTCTTGGGGAGTAATCTTATATCATGGGTTTGCAAGAAACAGAGAACTGTTGCCAGGTCATCCACTGAGGCTGAATACAAAGCTCTTGCAGATGTTTGTGCTGAGGTTCTATGGATTATGTCATTATTGCGTGAGATACAGATTCCGGGTATTTCCATTCCAAAATTATGGTGTGATAATCTAGGAGCTACATATATGAGTGCCAATCCAATCTTTCATGCCCGCACCAAGCATGTGGAGATTGATTATCATTTTGTTCGTGATCGAGTAGCTTCGGGCGATATCCAAGTTAACTTCATCTCCACAAAGGATCAACTTGCTGATATCTTCACCAAAGCTCTGCCTGGACCTAGATTTTCTTCCTTAAGGGACAAGCTACAGGTTACTAGTATACACTGTGCTTGAGGGGGAGTATTAGGACTCTATGTATATGAGTCTGTTTAGAACTTCTTATCCTTGTCACACTGTGACTCTCTACTTCTTATCATTGTCACACTGTGACTCTCTATTCTATATATTCACATCATCTGATCTCATTGCAATTAAGTTCAGAAAATATAATACAATCAGTTCTCATCTGCACTAGCATATCTAAAATTAATCTTTTTGAGTTTGAATAGTATAGCATAGAAACTCAACAAATTATTGTGTGGCTATGTGGATCATGGTTCAAATACAATGTCATTTTGACGTTAAAAAAAAGTTGTGCTCCGCACACTTATATGTGTTAAAAATAATGAACCTTCTGGGATAAGATAATGTATTTTGTGAGTTAGAATAATGTATTTTATGTGTTATAATAACATTTCTGTAGTAAGATAATATACTTTATGTGTTAAAATAATACATTTTATGAGTTAAAACTTAAAATAATATATTTTATGTGTTAAAATAATATATTTTATGTATTTTTGAACCATGGTGCACACAACAAACTCTCTTACGTATATGGAGTGCAAATGAGCGTAGAAAGGTTGGACGTGCGCACCCTATTAATGATGCAATGTACTAGAAATTGTAAGTTAATTCTGATCAGTTTAGGAGTTAAGCATTTAATGCCATGAATGCTAATGAATTCTATTTTTCTATAAAAACCCTATGTTAGGTAGAATGTTTGAGGGATTTGGAGAGCAGAGAGCTATATATGGTGTTGAATAGATGGGATGGTCCGGATGGACACATGAGTTTTAATGAATGACTTACTAGAAACTTATGAGAATTACAAAATATGCAAGGCCGCGGAGCTTCGAATGTGATATTCACAACTACTTTTTGGTGAGGTTTGGAAGTGGTGAAACGAATGATTTTTTTACATGTAAAGGGAAAATATTAGAATTAGGTAGATTAAAGGTCAAATGTTGGAGAATAATAAAGCTTTTGCTAATGCGATGGTTCCAGTAACGAGTCTTAACTAACGTATAGTGCGAGAAGTCCTTTGGAAGAAGCTTCCTAGAGGTTGGGTTAGACTAAACTTGGGCAGTAGTTTGCAACTAAATGGTTCAAAGGTGGGACGTGAAGGAGTGTTGTGAGATCACAATGAATTTTGTGTATTGAGATTTTCTCATAATATTTGTTAGTGTTTAGTAACTAAGGTAGATTTTTTTTCTTCGAGGAGGGTGGACCATTATAGGGTATTAGATTTAGATAGAGGCCGATTCGAGAAAATAACCAAGTTGATTAATAGCATGAAGGTTCCCATTTGGCCATTTAGGAAGCCTAGTTCAATATTGCAAAAAGCTATTAAGCAGAGATTGTGAAATTCATTTAGGTCACATCTTTTGGGAACAAAACAAGGTGGTAGATAACTTAGTGAAAAAAGTGGTGTATCATGGAATAGAGGTTTAACGGTATTATTCCCTTCACTTTCGGTGATGCAACTCATATGGGGACCATGGGGTGATTGCGTTGGTTAGTCTACTCAACAAATAGTGTTATAACAAGTTGATGAGATTTTGAGTTTCTTGTGTTTGTTGATAAAAATAAAGTTTTATCATTTTGAATTTAAAAAACAAAAAATAGAAAAATACAAGTTTTGAGATTGAAAAATGCATAAATTCTTTTTGGTGGAAATGCACAAGAGATAAAGGATTTTGCTAGAAATAATGGGATCATTTGACCTAAAATATGAAGAATAGGATTTAGAAGAGTCAACGCTATTTAACATTGCCATGCTTAACAAGCAAGGCTCGCGACTATTCACATAATAACCCGATTCTCTTTTGAGTTTAAAACATTTAGAAGGATCCATGAATACCTCATTCTAATAGCTCCCACATCTCAACTCCTATGCAGGAGTACCTTGAACATGCAAGTGTCGCATATCTTTTGCATGAAAACACCAAATGTTAGGATAGGGACATTGTTCATGATAGTTTTAACAATCAAGATGCTAGCTAGAAATATTCTTAATATTTCTCTAAGCTCTAGAACGATCTTAGACAAAATTAGCTGAAGATGGGAAATCAACCGTGAATACTATGTTAAAAGTTGTTATTGCAGACTAATTGGGGAAATTCTAGGTCCTTTCTACATTCCCTGGGAGGAAATTTGATGACTTGAAAATCTTCCTTTGCCAAACATGCAACTCTTGTCTCTCCACATATGATAACCTTTGGGGCTATAAAATCCAATGTCCTGAATTATGCTCATCATCTTGCTCTTCACTTGTTTAATGAATGTTGAATAAGGGTTGTTGAATCAAATTTGGGCCAGGAGTGAAGTTTAATTAATAACTTCTCAAGCTTCCAACATTAGATTATTTACCAATTATTATTGCCTTACAAGAGAAACTTTCAAACACATGATCATAATAACTTGAGAATTATAGTTAGCCTCAAATGAACCTACTCCCCCACCCCTCTCAACCTGAGTGTTTGCAAAATGGAAACACTGTTGGTGTCAGAAAAACTCAAATTAAACACTAACGTCGCTCTACACGCTAGAGGTGAACAAGTATGCCTTACCTGAACTTTTGTGCAGCCAGATATATGATTTATAATTTTTTGTTCACCCCAACAAGGCATATGCAATTTGTATTAGGGAAGCATTGGTATTGAATTGGAACTTGATGCTCAACTTGTAGTCTTTGAAATCGCCTCTCTCTATTTTAACACTTTTATTCAGGATATTAAAGAATTAACTTTACACTTTATAAGAGAATCATTTTTTGAGTCCGGATTTAAAGAATGACACTTTAGGCCTCTCAATTTTATAGTTGATGTTATCTTAAGGATTAATCTACTTTTTATTATAAAAAATAACTCATTTCTTACAATTTTTTGTCCTGACGAAATAAAGCAGTAGTTTTTGGGTGGAGATTGGATAACGTAATAAACTAATAATAATACAGTATTATAGTATTACATACGACTTCATAGCCAAACAACGAGGTGAAGCTTAAGAGTTCTACACCAGAATCGACCTAGACCAGAAAAGCAATGGCTGCGAAGGAGGCAGGTCTTACCAGCGGAGAGAGACTGGGACCCAATAACCATAGGCCACATTTGAAATGCTTTCAGAATTGAGAGCGTGGGCCCCACGTAATTGAGGGCATGATAGAATAGACTTTTCTCGGCGCACCGTCGTACCAAAGCAAGATGCTGCTATATATTGTCTGCCTTCCTCTTACTTTCTCCTTTCTGTTCTCTCTCTAAAGCCTCTGCTCAGTAAATCAGCCTCTGGGTATTCTTGAATCTGGTAAATATCTAATATTTGCTGTTCCAATCATATTTTCTTGAAATTTTTTTTGTAGTTTGATTAGATTTTGTCTAGTTTGTTTCTTGGTTTGTATTTGTGGTTTCTTTTAAGTAGTATAGGATGGGATATGATGGTGTTTTCTTTTTGAAACTTGGTTCTCTATGAAGTTGTGCTTTGTGATTTTGTTAGGTTTTATTTGTTATGGTATGTTTAATCCCAGCCTCCAATGGGGTTTGTGGAGATTTGATTGTAATTGGACTATTGATCATCAGCTCAAATCTGATGATTTTAGTCAAGAGTGTAAAGAGAGGATTTGATTTTTCAAACACTTCTTTATTATCTGTATAATTTTGTGTAGTTGCTGATATGTGTATGTGGTTATGGTCTGGAGAGCTGCCCCCTCCCAGCCCTTTGACTTGGGTTTAAGATGTCATATCCCATCCCATTAGATACACCTAAAACCGAAGGATATGTGCTGGGCTTCAAAAAAATCTTGGTTTATACTCGAGATCTTGGTTCCATGTAATAAGGATTGAACACGTATGCTCCTTTGATCTAAATCCTGTTATTCCCCTTTCACTGGAGTTGGGGGTGTTGTAAAAATCATGAAGCTTTTGAGTTCTAAAGGTGGAAACCGTGTGATTAGGAAACACTGAGAGGTGTGGAGAAAATTTCTAGGACAGTATTAATCATATATTAAGATGATATTTTGCTGGCACCGATTTTTCTTTTTGAGAATGCAACATAATATTGTCCTTCTCTCGTTACCATTTCCATACGCGAAAAGTTTGATGTTATTTGTTTGATTTATCTTAACACCATCATGATTCATGGCTATGGACATGAAGCTGGAGGCCACTTTGATCGGAGTTGCTGTAATGGTTATTTTCTTTGACCGAAGGGAGGAACTGTGCAAGAGAAGGGCACGTATTGCTATACTACTCTTCAGCAAGAGAGTAGTTTAGCAATGGTCTTGTTCGAGGTATCAACCACTACTCCACAGAAAAACCTAGGTGGGTACTGGGATTGCCAAAAAAGTCTATAATGTTATTCAATACAAGGGACTTTAGAGTCCTTTTCTTTTGGGGTGACGAGGGAAACCCGCACCCACTATCCAGGGGGGTATGCACGCCCCGCCTTGTGACCCTAGCCGGCAAAGGACCACAAAGAGGTAAACCAGCCTAGGTTGTCCATAGTTGACCGGCTCAAACCAAGAAGGTTAGGATTCGAACTCGTGACCTTGTAGTTACAAGTTTGTATCCTTAGCCATCTTGGCCGGGGTTACCCCACTTTAGAGTCCTCCTTTGGATCAAGGCGTGTGTTCATCACTTTAGACCTTTGGATGTGACTCTAACTTGTGGCAGAGAGATTAGTGTTGAAGAGCTACAATGCAAATGCCCATGTTTTGTTCGGGTGTTTTAAAAATTACCATTTTGATGATACATTGTTCTTCAAAATTTATTTTTGACAATCTCCCTGTGATGGGGAATTAGTTATACTTTGAAGTGGAACAAAATAGTCTCTTTCCGTAGCTAATGTCTTGGTAACATATTATGAAAATGTTTGCACACAATTCTAGAAAGAAGTATTAGGGATTAAACACTTCAACACCTGCAAGCAGCAAGGATAGAACCCAAAGATTTAGAGTCTGAAGTTTCAACTTTATTCAGCTTCGCTAAAGCCCAGTAGGCAATGCTTGATTACTTTTTAATGTATACGGTTCTTGTTATTTAAGCGTATGACTTTTATATATTTTTCAAAATTAATTATTACTCTGTAATTGCTTGTAAGCAAGAAGTAACATGTTAATTGGATAATATAATGCTTGGTTACTTTTTGGTTTGCGTTTTATTTTTGTTCTTAAATTAACTATTACTCCGTAATTGCTAGTTAGCAAGAAGTAACATGTTAATAGAATAATTCTTCAAACTATTTGCTTTCTTTTGAGATCTTCTACGGGTTTTATTGAAATGTTATATTGATGTTCTCATCGTATTGCAATTTTACCTCTTCTTTTTTTCAGTTGGATTTTAGTACCTCGAAAAGGAGATTTAACTATGGATCCTGATAATGGGCTTGACTCAGATCCTTGGACAAAATCTTCTTTGTCTTGCAATGACTTTTTGGAAAATGTTCCACCAGATGACCAGTCATTTAACGTTTTTACTTTGCAACAGCAGAAGTGGGAAAGTTCTTTTCTGAATCAGCTTAACCAACCGTCTCAGAATCAATCTTCGGTTTCTACTATCAACAATATCCAAATCAGAGTTCCAGATCAACAAGATACCCAAGCTTGTGATTCAAATAAGATTCAAGAATGGGATCCGAAAACTATGCTAAACAATCTCTCTTTTCTCGAGAAGAAGATCCACGAACTCCAGGATATGGTGCATGTAATCGTTGGACGCAGGGGGCAAGTTGGGTTTCAAGCGAACGAGCTTTTGGTTCAGCAGCAGCAGCTTATTACAGCTGACCTAACTTCGATCATCGTTCAACTAATATCAACTGCCGGGAGCCTTCTGCCGACTGTGAAGCACACTCTTTCCTATTCGGGCCAAGGGGGGCAACTTGTACAGCCTGGCGGAGTTGCAACGCCTCCTGGAGCAGGGTTCAACAGCGGTGGGGTGACACAAAGTGTTAATAATGTAAGTAAGGTGGAAGATCAGTCCATCCATATTGATCCGGTTGGGGATTCGGGTGTTGAAGAGCACGAGTTGAAAGACGAGGATGAGGCTGAGGAAGAAGAGAATCTGCCTCCGGGTTCCTACGAGATTCTGCAACTGGAGAAGGAGGAAATCCTTGCGCCTCATACTCACTTTTGCACAATCTGTGGGAAGGGGTTTAAGAGGGATGCCAATTTACGGATGCATATGAGAGGCCACGGGGACGAGTACAAAACTCCAGCCGCTCTCGCAAAGCCCCACAAAGAAGTCAGCTCCGTGCCAGCGCTTATAAAAAGATATTCTTGCCCTTACGTCGGGTGCAAGCGCAACCGGGAGCACAAGAAGTTTCAGCCCCTGAAGACCATCTTGTGCGTCAAGAACCATTACAAGAGAACCCATTGCGAGAAAAGCTACACTTGCAGCAGATGCAACGTAAAGAAATTCTCCGTCATTGCTGACCTAAAAACACATGAGAAACATTGCGGCAAAGATAAATGGCTTTGCTCCTGTGGCACGACTTTCTCTAGGAAAGACAAGCTGTTCGGGCACATTGCACTTTTCCAAGGCCACACTCCCGCTATTCCTCTCGATGACCATAAAGGATCCTCGTCTGGGCTGTCTGATCCCAAGTTAAATAACGCTTGTAGTGGAAGTCCACAGAACGCTATTGATGTGAAAGATCCTGGCAGTTACTTTTCACCGATGAACTATGATACGGGTGATCTTGGAGGATTTCAAGACTTCCCCAGAGTCCCATTTGAAGACTCGAATAGTTCGTTCTCTTTTCTACTATCAGGTTCATGTGATTACCCTCAGAAGGCAGGGAAATATGGCAGTTCCAGTGAATAGGGATAATAATTAGTAGTAAGTATTATTTGCTGTTTCTTGATGGCCTTACTATTGTAGTAGTAGTATTATTATTGCAGACTTCTATGTTAAGAATTCATTTATATAAACTAAAAAAGTAGTATTATTCTATTACAGGCTGTCTGTATGCAGTTTGATTACAGTCTGTTTCTTTACATAACTATATAATAAAGGAGGCCATGGCAAATTGATGGAGTAAGGCGTAAGGGTAGGGCATATGATTTGGAATGATGTTGTTCTAGACTTCCTAGCCTCTAACTTTCATAATATATGGTTTATCTTTTTTTGCCTTGTTGCATGATAATTCTCTCAACATGAGTCATATGTGGTTGTGGAATTGTTATTTTTAATAGAAGGGTTGGGTTGCCATGTGTTATAGATAAAATAAGGAGAGAAGGATTCTTTTTAAAAAGTAATTAAGGTTTTCTTGGATTGGTTTTGATTGTGATCATCCTTTATAATAAAAATCTTTGTCAAAGAAGGAAAATGTCGATTTGACGCCAAAAAAAAAAAAAAAAAAAACAAAAAACGAAGTAATAACGTGCCAGCCGACGCAGGCACTGCACGTGCCCGGCTGGCGAGTTGTCGGTGCGCAAAACACGTAATTGCGGCTTTCCTTTGAATTTTCTCTCGCTCCACAAAAAACCATTCTTGAAGGGCATATTCATTTTTCTCTTTCCTCTACCTCATGTTAGACCCCACAAAAAACAAAAAAAAAAAAAAACTAGAGATGGGGATGCTCTTACTTCAAAACACCATAATCAAGAGAATCAAAATATAATCCACACTTCTCCCATGTATAGCTTCGATTGTATATGTCCATTCTTGCTTCCAAAACACTAAAATAATTTAGAATAACAAGGATGTCACAAGGAAAGTAATTTTTGGTTTGAAGAGTTTACTAGTCTTTTTTTTTTTTTTTTTTTTAACGAATATAAATATAAATATTGTATAAGAAGTAAAGTGGTTCAACTAACTTTATCCAAGTGAGTAGAATGGCCGGTATCAATTGGCTGACCTTATTGATATTTTATAGATTGTAATATTATATTATAGACTCATAGTTTATAGCCGCCGCCCTACCCACCACTCAAAATCCAATGTTTGAAAACCCAATTCACTACATTTATAAGAACAGAAACCAAGAGTTCTGGACAATTGACTGGGTTTGATCCTGCCCATAATGAGAATATTATGGAGCACTGGAGCAGCATCATATACCTAATAGCACTATTTTATGTTCAAGAGAAGAATAGTTTTTGTTCAATGAATGAACTGTTTGTAGTGAGAATTATGGAGCAATATGAGCTTCAAGCCACACACAGCTTCTCCAAGTCTTGAAGGTTTCTTTGGACGGTGGCGATAATATGTCTCCTTCAGAACAACATCATCTGCAGATGACCAGGTTGTGCCTCTGGGAGAGCTGTCAGCCCAAAGGAACCTCTCAGAAAATGGATTCACGAGGCTCTCCCGGAAATCTGATGCAGTCTCACATAGTAAACCCTGCAGCATCAGATGAACAAAAGGACTGCATTAGTATCCCAAAAACATCATTTGATTAAGTTTAACACAACACAGAAGAAGTGAGTAGTAGAGAGAATTTTTCCTCACCTCTGCCATGGACTTGATCTTCAGAGTGACATCATCACTGAGAAGGACAAGTTGAGCATTGTTGGTTTTTCTGAAGGAAAGAGCATATTCAAGAATGTGGTCTTCTGCTGTTGGAGAAACTATGTTCAAGAAACTATCGTAACCGATTAAAGATGCTGGAGTAGCAGGAGGGGTTGGTGGAATGGCGCTTGCTTCTTCCTCTGAACTCTGCACATGAATCCACCACTTCGTATTTATCATACAATCTTCAACCCACTCTAAAGCTGAACTCACCTCTGTACTTCTTCTAAAGAAACCACGACGCCTTTTCATGCAATCGAGTTCCCTAATGACTGAGAAGGCAGTAGCCAATCAGGTAAATGAAATAAAAGATTAATAACATAATTTGATGGATTAAGGTTTTCACGTACATGAATGTAGAAGAGGTCATGAAAAAAATTACAAACAAGTGATTACCAATACGGGGTATGATCAAACAAGTCCTTTTGAGACCTTGCAAAAGCTGCAGAGCCTTCCTTGATTCTTTGTTCAGCAGAGAAGTAGTATCCACCACCATACACCATCTCTTGTTTTCCTCCCTGACTATGTGCTCCTGTAATGATATTTGAGACACACATAGTACATCATAATTCAAAACAAATAGAGTTCATAATTAAAATGTCACCATGAAAGTGAATTTTGTCTCAAATACTAACAAAAATTGATTCAGAAGCTTAGCACAAGAAATATCCAAATGAACTTACAGAAAAGGGATAGACCTCTTCCACTCCTAGATACTTGATGTGATGGATACTTTTTGTAGAGACATCTTGTGTTGAATAGTTTGATTCAGTCTTGCTGCTCTTGGAGCTAAGAGAGACAGATTGAAGGGGTTGCCTATCTATTTTGCCCTTCTGTGTAAGAGAGACAGATTGAAGGGATACATTTAGTCCTTTCTCTTCTTGATTTCTGGAAACAGCACAGATTGATATCGGCTCTTGAAGCACTTTCTCATAGTGACTCTCTTTTTCGACTGACATGCCTTCATATTGATGCGGATTAACAACAGTTCTGCTAAAAGTTTCTTCAAGTTTTCCTACCATGTTCATTGACAACAGAGAATCATCCTCATTTGCTTTCCATGTGTGTTTCTTAGTTTCTCCAGGCTTTCCAATCTTGTCCATTGACCACAGAAAATGAGTATTAGGGGTCATATTCTCTTTATCTGGAGTGCAAATTTCGCCATCACACTCACCCACTTTCTCAGTACAATTGTCATTCTCCAAGGAGAAAGGCATGCCTTCATCATTATGGATCCTGGGATCAACAGCATTCTTCAAAGGAGATGGATTAAGCACCTTCTTCTTCAGTATATTTTCAAGTTTCCCCTGCTGTTTTATTGACCTCAGGAGATGAGTTTTCAGAGCCACATTCTCTTTATTTGGAGTTACATTTTCATCATCTACCTCATCCATATTTGGAATTGAAGATTTCATAGTTGATTGACTTTTTAAGTCAATTTCAAGCACAGAACTTGAAATGCAATTCTCTTTACTTGGAGTGAATATTTCTTCTTCGTCCATTCCTCCACTCAGAAAATGTATATTAGAAGTAATGTTCTCTTTATCTGGAGTGACTGTTTCATCAACCAATGTAGATTTCATAGTCAATCCATTTCTCAAATCAAACTCATCTGTATTCTTCAAGGACCCAAGTGGGAAAGAAGTAGGAGTGAGATTCCCTTGGTCTGGAGGGGAGATTTCTTCTTCATCCACATATCTGCTCAGAGGAGGAATAACCAGAGTTGTGTTCTTTTTATCTGGAAAGACTATTTTAGCATCTTCACCCACAGAAGATATCATAGCACTTCCTGTATCAAACAAGGACCTGAGTGAGACAGAAGTAGGAGTTTGGTTCTCCTTGTTTGGAGTTAACATTTGTTTATCTGGTGTGAATGTTTCCTCATCTGCACCACCACTCTGACAGAGAATACTCATAGTTATATTCTCTTTGTTTGGAGTGACTATTTCATCAACTTCATCCACATTCAGAGGTGAAGTTTTCATTGTTGATCCACTTTTCAAATCAAACTCATATGTCATCTTCAAGGACCCAAGTGGTAGAGAACTAGGAGGGGAATTGTCTTTGTCTGGAGTGAATATATTTTCACCCATATCTCCACTATGAAAAAGATCCTTTGAGAATGATTGAATATCAGTATCTGCATTATTCTCTGATTTTATTTCAGAACCAAAACTGGACCCAAGTAGTAGAGAACTAGGAGGGGAGTTCTCTCTGTCAGGAGTGAACATTTTTTCACCCATATCTCCACTCTGAAAAAGATCCTTTGAGAATGATTGAATATCAGTATCTGCATTATTCTCATATTTTATTTCAGAACCAAAACTGGCCCTTGAACTCTTATTTGCATCTCTGCCAGTCTGGATAACCTTCATAGTCACATTCTCTTTGTCTGGAGCTTCTATTTCATCAACTTCATCCACATTCTCTTTGTCTGGAGCTTCTATTTCATCAACTTCATCCACATTCTCTTTGTCTGGAGCTTCTATTTCATCAACTTCATCCACATTCTGAGGTGAAGATTCCATTGTTGATCCACTTTTCAAATCTAACTCATCTTTCGTCTTCAAGGACTCAAGAAGTTGAGAACTAGGAGAGGAGTGCACTCTGTCTGGAGTGAACACCTTTTCACCCATATCTCCAATCTGAAAAAGATCCTTCGAGAATGATTGAATATCTGTATCTGCATTATTCTCTGATTTTATTTCAGAACCAAAACTGACCCTTGGACTATTATTTGCATCTCTGCCATTCTGGATAACCTTCATAGTCACATTCTCTTTGTCTGGAGCAACTATTTCATCAACTTCATCCACATTCAGAAGTGAAGATTTCATTGTTGATCCGCTTTTCAAATTCAACTCATCTGTTGTCTTCAAGGACCCAAGTGGTAGAGAACTAGGAGGGGAATTCTCTTTGTCTGGAGTGGAGACTTTTTCACCCATATCTCCACTCTGGAAAAGATCATTTGAGAATGATTGAATATAAGTATCTGCATTATTCTCCGAATTTATTTCAGAACCAAAACTGACCCTTGAACTCTTCTTTGCATCTCTGCCAGTCTGGATCAGAACACTTGAGGCTTTTCCCCTTCTTGACCAAATGTTCAAAGCAGGTCTTTGCCGTGATCCTAGTGATGCACTCCCTGCATTTTCTGTTTGGAACTCTGCAAGAGAATGCTTTTGAGCAAAAGAAGGTTGTGGCATATTGTCCTCTTCATCAAGCTGGTAGTCAGGTTGTCCAATATTACTTTTATCCTCTACATGAATTCCCGTATTGGTGGTCTTGCACTCCACTTTCTCTTCATAAGCAACTGCAGAATATATATCCTCAGGCAAGGGAGGTGCTGCAGAATACACATCTGTATCAGAATGCAGTGAATCTAGGCCCTCCAATTCATCTCTCTTTGTCAGTGAATCATCATGCGAGAACCCATCCTCATCCTAAAATAAAAAATCCAAGCATAACACAACTTAATGAAAGGGAGCCACTATATTCTGCACAATCCCAAAATACACTGCATATTATTATTATCATTTACTCTAAGAGCTTACCTGATTTCTTTCTCCTTCCCCTTCTTTAACAGGCTCTGACTCCATAATTGTAGGCAAGAATGGAATCTCCAAATCATAAGCACGGCTCGAAGGAATCCAATGTAGCCTGTACACCCTACTGGATCCCCCTAGCTGCATTGTATCACCTTCTTGCAACTTAACCCGAACCCCTGGTTCAATCCTTTTCCCAGCAATCCAAGTCCCATGCACTAACACAATAACAATAACAAAGCATTTACTAACTAGAAGCTGAAACCATTTCCTAAATCTTCAAGATTCATCAAACATATTTATAAGGAGCAATGCAACGAAGATGTATAGTACAAGTCCAGAACTACAAAACAATAAAGTTACAAGTTCATAACAACACACACACACACACACAATTGCAGACACATATAGGGTTTTGAATAGCTAGAAATTCAAAGGTATCAAATGATTATACACATAGCAATTGGATAATTACACATGTTTACTGATCAATAACTAAATTCAAGAGCGATCAAACTTATTGAAATCCGCTGACATACAGAATCGAGGAAAAATTGAAACTCAGTATTCATCAAGAAATGAATCATAACTGCAAACTGAAAATGAATACCAGAGGAAAGATCAATGACAGAGAGGGATTGGGAGGAGGGATTGGAGTGGATGCGGAGGTGGAATCTGCTGATGCTTGGATGCTCCAAAGTGATGTTACATTCTGGATGCCTTCCGACCACCAAGATTTCTTCCAATTCCTTCTCGGATTCTTCCGAAAAGGCAGGGTTATCGAGTAGGAAAATGTTCTTGAGGATGGCGTTGTTCTTCAGCACTGTAAACACAGGTATTTTTCTTTCTTCTTCTTTAGCCGAAATGAGCTCTACTCTAGGCTCTTCTTGCTTCTCCATTGTTGAATGCAGAGAGAGAACGAAGAGAAGGGTTTTGAGTAAGGTTGAAATGAGACGGAGAGAGAGATATCTTATGAATGATTTCTGAGAAAAATGACCGTTGAGATTTGAAACGGTTCTTTAATTGCCAAGAATATTTCTTTTTATTTTTTCATAAAGAGAAACTAAAAATAGTTTGAAATCGAGGTACCTACATGGCTACATGGCTACGTCAAACCCTGACTCACCACGGCATGTATTCATTTCAATATTAATAATATGTTTTTAAATAATAAATTAACTATAATTACATTTTGATTAAATTTAATGTAATTTTTATTTGGATGTAATCAACAAAATTATTTATAATATTCAAAAATTTTAAATATATAAGTCTATATTAAATTATGCTAAAATAACAAAATCATACCATATACATTTTCAATTATATCCTAAATATTTAAATATAGAAAAAAGGGTCAAATAGACCCCTAAATTTTACAAAAGTGCAATTAAACTCTCAAACACGTCAAATTGGGTCAATGAAACCCAAAAATCGATAAATGACTTGTTATTACAAGTCATTTCAATTCCGGCGACCAGCGACGAATTCCGGCCACCGGCGACAAAATTCGGCCGTCCGGTCGTCTTCCACTGGAGAAGACGATCGGACGGCCGCCTTCTCCAATCCATTGGAGAATACGGAGAAGAACGACCAGATCTGGCTGTCTTCTCCAATCCATTGGAGTCCAATGGAGAATACGGCCGTCTGGTCGTCTTCTCCAATTGAAGACGACCAAATTTTTTTCGCCGATCGCCGGAATTGAAATGACCTGTTATTACAGGTCATTTGCCGGTTTTTGGACTTCATTGACCCAATTTGACATGTTTGAGGGTCTAATTGCACTTTTGTAAAATTTAGGCGCCTAATTGACCTTTGAGTAAAGTTTAGGGGCCTATTTGACCATTTTTCTTTTAAATATATACGGAGTAATTTTTAGTTTTAGATATTCCTATTATATCACCTTTTTTTAAAAAAAAATTTTAATATTCCGTACTAAAATTAATATAAAATTTTAAAATTCAAATTTGACCCACTAAGCTCATGAATGGAGTTTTTATATTCAAACTCAAGTGCTCGGTGCTCAACCCATGCTAAGCGTTTGGGAGTGAGTACCAACAAGATGGATCTGAATTGTCATTCCTAAATATTCAAGTTAAAAAAATAAAAAAAAAAATGAAAAGATTAGAGTTAGGGTTGGTCCTATAAAAATAAGAGTATTCTATCAAGTGGCTTGTGGTCCATTGGTATCGGGTTACTTCTTTAAGTGGGAGTTGATAGGTTCGAACTTAGTTGAGACAACTAGTGTGTATATGTAGGGTATCCCTTCCTTATAATAAATTTAAAATAAGAGTCTTGTTTATAAGAGAAAAAATGAAAATAAGAGTACTATTAGACTCAAAATTTATTTATTTTTGTAAATTCTATTTCTTATTTTTAAAATAGTCTAAATTTAACATTTATTTTATTTTATTTTATTTTATTTTATTTTTTCGGTTCTAAATCATAACCAGAATTATTCTTACTGTTTCGATTCGGTTGCTACAGTGTACGGTTAGGTTCGAACCAAATCGTGGTCATCAATACATATAAGCAATAATTTGTTGAAGAGAAAATAAATAAATAAATAAAATACTTATTTTAAGGGTAAAAATGTACATTTAACATAAAAGGGGAAAAATCACCACTTTTAACATAACTTAGGGGGAAAATGTGGATACATGAATAATTTAGGAGAAAAAAGTGCTATAACTACCCTATAAACATATAACTCAGGGAAAAAAGTGTCATTTTCGCTTACAAATTTGACTCCCAGCAGGAGCGAACCTTCTTGATTTGAGGCTTTGAGCCGAATATATAATAATGTAATAATTGCCAGAGATTAAATGACAAAATTTTGAATTGTTTTAATAAATAGGCCCTTAAATTGAATTAGTTATGCATTTTTTTTAAACAACAATATCTGCGTGCTTAGAAAAATCTTAGGATTCAAACTTAAAGATTTCTTCCCTATTAACTTTTGGCATCATATGTCACACATATTCAAAAAATTCAAAAAATAAATGAAAGCAACTTGCAAGAAAGTCAATATTAATTTCTTGCTGGAATGCATATATATGTATGAAACTATAACCTATATATCTATCATAATCATAATTTTACAAGAAAGAAAGAAATTAATAAGTCAGAACTATTTGACAACATGATCGATATAATCGAGTCATACACAACACTGCCATGCAGATGCAGTTATCAAACACCTATCTTGCCAAGCTAGAGAAATACCCTTCCCATCATCTCTCTCAACAACTCTAAATCCGCCATTATTAACACAAGATGAAGAAGAAGATGATGATGAAGAAGGAGAATGGCTTCTGATTTTCAAAAGCAGTTTGGCTTGCATTACATTCTTAGAGCTCAATTCCATCTCACAAAACCCACCACTCTCCAATAATACCCTCTCTCTCTCATCATGTCTTTGATCATCAAAATTCATCACACTTTTGATCTCTCTCCCAAGATGGTTCTCGATGCTCAACCTCTCATGGCTATCTATGGGGAGACAATCGTCCAAGGAATCAAACATGGCGGCGAAATAGTGTAGAGATTCCATGAATCTTGATAGGAAACTTTGAGGTAGTTTTCTGCAAATTACGTCTTGCTCCACCACGGTGACGACTGAAGGGCGGAGAGAATGGACGGCTTTTAAGGTTTCACTAATGTCGGCAGTTAATCTGTTGTCGTTGACGTGAAAGGATAAGTTGACCGCCGTGGTTTCATTCTCGAGTGTTACTATGTTTCCTAGGTTGGACCCTTTCAACAAACCGTGAAATTCAAACGACAAATTGCGAAAGCCTTTGGCGAAGCTTAGGAGCCTGGCCTCGGTTTCTTGTAGCTCGTTTAAGGTTGTGGCGAACCCGGTTATCCTGAGGGAAATTCGGTTTAATAAAGCTGGTGTCGTGGTAATGTTTTGTGAAAGGGATTGGATTAGGGATGGCCATTGGAAGCCATGGGAGATGTCGAAGTCAATAACGTGCAAAGAGGGCTTGTTCTCGTTCTCGAAGGCTTCAATGATGGCTTGGTTAGCTGTGAAGTGAGCGAATTGGTACAAAGGGGAGACCTTGTAGAGGTGTGTGAAGGCTAAGAACTCTTCTTGGGAGGTGGGGGGCTTCATTATGGTGTGGTAGAAGGGCGATTTTTGGGTTAGGAGGCGGGCGGTCAAGGCGGCTGCGAAGTACGCCGACACTCTTTGGATGGCGTCTCCTAGTACGGACACATTTTGACACAATTCACTAAGGTTTGCCATTGCAGAGGTGAGGTTGTTGTCGTTGACAGCTGCCGCGGCAACCAACAACAAGTTGATCAAATGAAGGCCTTCCCGGCCTCCCGAGCTTTCTTTGCTGGTCTTGTGAGTCGAGTTCAGCATCTGCTCTCCTATTTGAAGGAGACTATATATCTCCTCTTCATAACTCGAAATGCTGACTAAGTCTTCTCGCCTCTTCCTTTTCTTGTTCCTTTCACACCCTAATGGTTGTTGTGTGGCGATGGCAAGTTTAAGACTCAAGAACTCATCCTCATCATTTATGCTTTCCATTTGGTTTGAGAGAAAGAGAGAGAGAGAGAGAGAGAGAGAGAGAGATGTAAAGAGGGATTGAGAAAAGATTAAGGTTTGGGTTATAAAAGGTGAAGTTTGGAATAAGTCCAACCTAAGAAAGACAAAGTAGAGGTATATATTCTTTTTCTTTAAGGTGAAGATACCTTTTAGATTGTTCTCCCCTTGGAAAACTGCATAGATATATTCTTTTGTTAGCCCCTAGGTAGGTAGTTCGGAAGTCTCAAAAGATGCTATACACATTAGACAAAATACAGCGAGAAATATGGTGTACGTGTTCATTTAAAAATATATTAATTAAGTTTTATTCTTCCCCAAAAAGTCGAATTTCTTATGGAACAAGACAATAGTCTTTGTTTGGTAAAATAGTTAATCTATAGGTCAATTTCGACTTATTTGATCACTATTAGTTATTTGACTTGGTTTAAAAATCAATATAAGTGTTTGATTAATTAGTTTTTTGTATTCCGAAATGCTAAAATTCAAAAAGCTATTCAAAGCAATTTTTTCAATTAGCTTGTTGAGAAAAGAAATTATACCAAACAGTTATCATCTAACAGCTAATTTACCAAACACTTTTCTACAATTAGCTAATGTTATCAACTAGTTGTACCCTCTAATTAACCCAATCAGCTAACAGCTACCAACCATTTATCAAACAGTGCCAACGTCAAATGTCAATGCACATACCAAATATGTCTACTTTGAACATAATTCTCACACTGTCGCCGCCTGGTTTTGAACTTATTCTCATTATATATGACTACATTGGTTGAGTGAAAGAGAGTAAAAAAAAAAAAGAGTGAAGAAAAGACTATTCTTATAGCTAGTGATCAATTAACACATGTTACATGTATAAATTAAACAAGTATGAAATATATATTGGGAGAACTCCAACCAAGTTGGTTAGACTATTGACTTAATAGTTACAAGTGGTACAAGTTCTACTCTTAACGGGAGTGGCCTATTGGCCTTCTTGGTTTGAGCCGTTAAGTTATGAGCAACCTAGGATTACCTCATTTTGATCCTTTGTCGGCGGCTACGGTTACAAACGAGGTTTACCCAATACACACCCTTAGATAGTGATTGTAGATTTCTCTCGTCACCTAAAATACCGAGAGTATATGTATGACAAATGTAACGTTTTCCCTTATTTATTATAACATTAGGGTTAGAATTCAAGTTATGATAAATATTAATGTATTTGTTATTTGGTGCAACACTTACAACTAGACTTAGATTAAGATGAGGAGTCGACCTAAGGACATATAACTACAACATTAATGACATGCGACTATTTAAGATCCCCAGTCATCTCATTTTAATTCCTCTTATACCGGTATTTAGAGATATTCACATCAATTTTACAGCAGCGGTCAACATGGGTTAGTATACTTATTGTTATAGTAATTGATTGTCACGAAATGTGGCTATGTCACGTATTTGCTTACAACAAACTCATCATATCCATTCTACTGCATTTAATTAGAAGATAAACTTGATTATGATTATGTTGTTACGTTAGCGTGTGTAGTACATGAAAATTTTAAATTTTAATGAGAAATATTTAATTTCGAATCATGATATACATAACATAAAGAAAAAAATTCACTGAAATCTGATCTGTACGTATTTAAATTACAACAATTTAATCCATGACTAGATTTATATATGATTATTTTATTGTTTTCCTGTAATTTAATAAAAATTGAATGAGTTATTTTGACCTTATTAATTCAATCAAAATATCAAATCCAGTCAAAACTTCGTTTAACGTAACAGCCCATAAAATCATAAGAAGGGTAAAAAATGTATAACTATATGGATATGATTATACCTATCTTCACCTAGTTTCTAGATGCTTTATAGTCGCAGAATCTTTTGCAATTTTGTTGAGGTTCCCACGTACATCTCGTCAAAATCTTGGAAGGTAGTATATATATATATATATATATATATATATATATATATATATATATATATATATATATATATATATATATATATATCATCAGTTTTGTCATCTTCTCCCATGGGAAAGGAACCAAATACATAATGCTTTTTGGAATATAGTGTGTGAACTTTTGTGGGTGGACTCTTCTATGTGCGATCGACTAAACTCTATACATTTCTTTCATCATGACTACGCCTGCGTATACGTATTACATCCACGCTAGCTTCTTTATTTGTTGCATGCATGCATGTGACTGGCTATGCATTTGATCAGATTTTAACATTTTGCATGCATGTTAGTAAGTCATAATAGTCATTATTGGGTGACTTTATAATATATCAAATTAAAATTGTTATAATGCTCATATTGATGGCACAGAAGTTATTTAAACTCATCTTTCCACTATTGTTGTTAATGCTGAAACTAGAGTCAAGTTTTAGCTATCAATAATACTTAAGTACATTTTAGATTAAAATATAGCTCAACAGGTCATGAAACTGAAAGCTGCCTGCACGGTAATTCAATTGGTTTCTGTGTGGTTATTTTGGTTAAGGACACATGACTGAGATTAATTGGCAGCCGTAGTGTAGGAATTACATCTAATGTGATGATTTCTTGCGGACACCAAGAATTGGTCCTCACAAATCCTGTTGGACCAGGGTGTGGGGGAGGAGAGGGGAGGGACCCGCGAGATTTCGTCTTTTGTGGACAAGGTGAAACCCACGACTATAGAAAATTGTAACTTATTAAGTAGTTATGTTGAATTTGTATTAATTTTAAAGTAAAACAATATATTATCAAATAACCAAAAATAATTTTCACCAGCATATATAGTTTCCACGAAAACATACTTGTGTTCTATTTTTTTTTCATTTACATTAGTTTATCATATAACTTCATATGATTAATTTATGGTGAATAATTCGCTACGACTTCTCCTGTAAATTCTCTACTGAAAATTATGAAATTTCCGACCACCTGAAAATGATCTTAAATCAAGTCGAAAGTCTTGTTCCGACCACTTTTGGTATCCGGAAAAACCTTTATTGCTATTTCCGACCACTTTTTGCTTTCGGCTTGATTTAAGATTACTTTCAGGTGGTCGGAAATTCTATAATTTCCAGTAGTGATTTTGGTTGCCAATATGTTAATTTATTATTATCATATCATATTTAATTTTTAATGGAGAGTTTTGGTTGAAAAAACGTGAGTTCTTTTTAAATTTTTATAAATAGTCTACCTAAGTTTTTAAGATTTTGTTCCTTAAAATTTAAACGACAGCAAAAAGGACAAGAAAGACAAAAAAGTCAAGAGTTGTTGGTTTGTCACTTGAATAGTTCAATTATGTAGTTGCAATGGCGAGGAATATATATTACCCGTGAAGACAATTCGTATCGTCATGTTTGTAAAAGGAAAATGCTTTGTTATTATCTTCTTAAATTAAAATTCATTATGATATGACTTATAATTATTAAATGTTATGAATTGATATGTGGGTATATATCCCCCTTCCCTTTAAAAAAAATGTTATGAATTGATTTATCTGGAAGTCAGGCCACAACATGAAGGGAAAACTCGAAGGCCCCCTAGGCGAGAAATTTTACTTTTGTAGGCAAGGAAAAGTTTGAAGGAAAATATTCATGAGAAGAAATGAGCATTTTTCATAATAAAAATAGGAAGAGAATTTCTATAAAGAAAAAATAAAATTTATCTTACAAGAATCACTCATTTCTATTTATAAAATTTTAATAAATTAATTTTCATTAATTGATGAATCTCACTAGAAATATAATTAATAATAAGAAGCGACACATTAATCAAAAAAAAATGTTGTTATTGATTTTTCAACTATATTATCATATTTTGCAAGAAGTGAATATTAGTACAATATTTTTTTTTAAAAAAAATTGCCTCTAAACCATTATATTGGTAAATTTTACTCCGTACTTAAGATTTGCTTCTCTCCCCAAAATTAGGTTCAATTTCTATCACGAATATTAAGAGTTTGTGTTTAATTCTTTATATAGTCTAACAAAATTGATTAAAAAAAATGATACTGTCTAATAGGGATGATGAAAGGTCAAGTACATTAATTAGAAGATTCATGGTAATAAATATAATCACCATGTGCATTTGAATTATTCCTCCTCATATATATTTAATTCACTTAAAAAATAATTGATTAATTAATTTCGTAGATAAAGATTCTTCCAGTTGACCCTGCCGCTCCAACTTAATTAATTTAATTTATCTAATTCCCATAATCTTTGACAATTCCTAATTAGTATGGTATTAGGTTTATATATATAAGGCATAAAAAGACAATTAAATGGCCAAAATAAGTGAGTTATCAACTTACAAAGATGAGGTTAGTGTCGCCCGGCCGCGCGTATTTTTAGGTGTCTTAGATTATTTATTTAGTTTTTGGTTAATTAGTGGAAATCAAGATAACTTATTTTACTTCTGATGAATCAACATTGAGCCTTATTAGCTTTAAATTTGTTGCTTAGTTAATTAATTAGATGTTGATTAATGCATTTTTAATGGATACCGATGAAAAACTCAAGCAAAATTAACATATACTCGGTTTATTTGGATGGTTGAACCTAACATTTTATCATCAAAACATGACCTGACTGCTACGCAATAATTATAAGGAAATAAAGTTGCGTATTCATTACTAACTATAAGTTTTTACATATATAGTTGTAGTGTTTGATCTTGACAATTGGTATCAGATCAGAGCAGAATATGAATTTGAATCTCGTTGTAGTTGAAGGGGGATTGTTAGGTGTCGGCCTATCGACTTGGAAAGTCGAATCCAGTAGGGCGCTTAGCTGTCAACTTGAAAAGATGAGTCCAGCATTAAGCTAGCGCTTGATCATGACATTATTATTCCAAGGAGCACTTTAGAATCCTACAAGGCTGAATAGAATTAATAAGAAGATGCGCACTGACATTTGGTCCTGTCTACTAACCCATTGAGTCACCGTAATTTACATTTTTCCACATACTCTATCGGATCGGACTATGGGGGCCCTTAGGGTTGGGAATTCAGTCTCAGGGTAAGAATTAATAAGAAGAAAACAATCATAGACGGTACTAGTCAGCCCACATAACAAGGGACATAATTTTTTATTACTTTTTTTTTTTTCTGTTGAGCTTAAAAGTAGGAAGTAGGTCTGCTCTTGAAAATTTTCCATGTAATATCTTAACTGTAATTCACCCCAAACAAACAAGAGTCAATGCAGTACGAAAACAATGCCTAAGTTTGTGCATTAAGGTTGTAGGAAGGAAAATTTCAACAGAATACAGTTAACAGTTACACATGGCAGTAATTGAAGATTTGAAGCCGATCTTTGTGCCTAAGCTAGGCTTTTCTGCATCACCTCCATATAAACACCCATCCATCCTCTCTCTTGATTACTGTTACAGATGAATAAAATAAAATAAAAATAATATAATATAATAAATTACTCCCAAAAAACAAAAAACAAAAAAAAAAAAACAAAAACACCAAAAAAACCACAAAAAAACATATATGCGTAAAAAAGAAAAAAACAAAAAAAAAAATAATGGAGACCGGATCGACAACTGACAAATCGCCCTTCCAAGTCGAACAAGCTCCGACGACGACGTCGCCGACGTCGTCGCCGCCGCAACCGAGTCAGTTATGGAAGATCATAGTGGTGGCGTCGATAGCCGCCGGAATCCAATTCGGGTGGGCCCTGCAGCTATCTCTCCTCACTCCATATGTGCAGCTCCTTGGAATCCCGCACAAGTACTCTTCCTTCATTTGGCTTTGCGGTCCCATTTCCGGCTTGATCGTTCAGCCGCTGGTGGGTTACTACAGCGACAATTGCACCAGCCGTTTCGGCCGCCGTCGACCCTTTATCGCCGGCGGTGCCGCCCTCGTCATCTCCGCCGTCATCCTCATCGGATTCGCGGCCGATATAGGCCACGCTGCCGGTGACCCCCTAGGGAAAACCTCCAAGCCCCGTGCCATTGCCATTTTCGTCGTCGGGTTTTGGATCCTCGATGTCGCCAACAACATGTTACAAGTACTCCCTCCGTTCCATTTTAGGTTTGACTGAAGGTTAATTTCAATCTTTATATATTTAAAAACTTTATTAAAAATTATAATTATAAAAGGGGAGTATATGGTTCTGTTTCTTAGAACTTATTTTAAAGTTTATAATCTAAATAAGTTATAAGTTCTATTTGGTCAAACCTGGAAAGTTTAAAATAATAGTTTATATAACCTTTCAGAATCAGCTCTAAACTTTTTAATTTTTCAGCTTTCAGCTAGCGGGCGTAGCAAACAGTATGTGTGATGATATTTATACAATAAAATTATAGTAATGTCACTCACGTTTTAATGCTTTTATCATGGTGATTCAGGGTCCATGTAGAGCGTTGCTGGCTGATCTCTCCGACGGAAGCTCCGACAGAACACGGACGGCGAACACGCTGTTTTCATTTTTCATGGCGGTCGGAAATGTGCTAGGTTACGCCGCCGGTTCCTACCCGAACCTACACAAAATTTTCCCGTTCGCACTGACAAGCGCGTGCGATGGCTACTGCGCCAACCTGAAGAGCTGTTTCATCATTTCCGTCGTCCTCTTGCTGGTGGTGACCGTGGTGGCATTGTTTAGCGTGAGCGAAAGCAAGCACTCAAAGGAAAGCTTCCAAGGAGGGGGAGAGGGAAAGAAGATAGCATTCTTCGGGGAGCTTTTGGGGGCGCTGAAGAGTCTCCCGCGGCCGATGTTTATCCTCCTGGTGGTCACGGCCCTCAACTGGGTCGCGTGGTTCCCTTTCTTCTTGTACGACACGGACTGGATGGCCCGGGAGGTTTACGGCGGCGAGGTGGACGACCACGGGCTGTACAACAGCGGCGTGCGGGCGGGGGCGCTGGGGCTCATGCTTCAGTCGGTGGTCCTGGGGTTCATGTCCATTGGGGTGGAGATCGTCGCGCGGCACGTCGGCGAAGTGAAAACGCTGTGGGGTGGGATTAACTTCATCCTCGCCGTCGGTTTAGGCATGATGGTTTTGGTTACCAAACTAGCGGCACACAACCGCCGGTATGACGCAAGCGGCAACGCCCTCCCGCCGTCTCCCGGCATCAAGGCCGCAGCTTTGGTCATCTTTTCCGTTCTCGGCATTCCTCTAGCAGTAAGCCCCGCTTCGCTTCGTCCTCAACGCCTTCACACTAAACATTTATTTTATATATATATATATATATATTCTTCCACTGGAAACTCGGCCCTCATGCATATATACTCTCTCTTTATACAATGCAGGTGACATACAGCATTCCATTTGCTTTGGCATGCATCTTTGCAAGTGATGAAGATGGTTCGGGGCATGGTAAATTACAAATCAAGCTAAAACTTTAAAATTTTGGCATTCTCAGCTAAGTTGGTTAGGCTGTAAGTTGACATTATATATAACTACAAGGCTATGTAGTACGTACCCCTAATGGAAGTGGTCTATTGATTTTCTTGATTTGAGTCGGTGAATTATGAAAAACCTAGACTGATTTACTGTTTGCGGACCTAGACTTATTACCTTTTTTATTTGAGTCGATCAGCTATGAGAGAAACCTAGATTGGTTTACCTCCTTGTGGTCCTTTGTCGGCTAGGGTCACAAGGCGAAATTCATCACGGGTAAATAACAAATCAAGCTAAAGCTTCAAAATTCTTAAGACAACCCTAGCTAAATTGATCAAGTTGTTGGTATGATAACCACAAGTTACAAGTTCGACTCTCCGTGACAACGATCTATTATTAGTCTTTGTTGACTAGAGTCACACGACATGATTTATCCCATAGTGGCTGAGGGTTTTCTTGTCATAAAAAAAAACTTCACAATTTTCAATATATATACACAAATGCATGCGGTTATATATATATGTGTCTAAATTTCATTCCATGCATGTACAGCGGGTCTCTCCCTAGGTGTTCTCAATCTTGCAATCGTGGTGCCACAGGTACGATGATCAATTTAGTACATTATTATTTTTATAATTTGTACGTAGTACTAGACGTGAATATGAATTTGCAACATTATCTTAATTAATTAATTAATTGAAAATGTATAGATGTTCGTGTCATTCTTAAGTGGACCTTGGGATGCAGTGTTTGGAGGTGGGAATTTGCCGGCATTCTTAGTGGGAGCGGTGGCTGCGACCGTGAGTGGAGTATTAGCAATCACAATGCTTCCATCGCCAGGACCAGATCAAAAGCAAATTGTGATACCATAGCCATTATATTATATATATATATATATATGGGCTGGGCAACTCTGCTGTTTTATTTAGTTTGTACGACGATGAGGAGTATGGCAAATTTAATTTTGTCATTTTTATTAATCAGTGGTTCGATCAATTTGGGTTGTACTGGAATGGAACTTAAAATCCAATAATATAATCCCTTGATGCTCTCTCTAGTATGCGTCATGTGTAATGACTTTGAAACTAAATTAAAAGTGGAAATCTATCTACCAAATATATATACATTTTTCTTCAAAGGATCGATCAGATAATTTATTCAATTCGGATTCACCAACTACAATGCATTATTTATGCATTGCCAGAATACACATTTATTTATATATATAGGGTCGCGTTCAGGTGCAAATAGGTGCTCAGGGAAAAAATGCGAACCAATCAGTGCACTTCACGTGTCAGCATTCATTGATCGGGTGCACATACTTTTACCTACAAGTGCACCTACTTTCGTCTGCAAGTGCATGTAGTTTTTGCCTGCATTCATTGACCCGGTGCACCTATTTTCACCTACAAGTGCACCTACTTTCACCTGTAAGTGCATGTAATTTTGTCTTGTTAACATTCATTGATCTGAGTTCGTTCTATTTGACATCATTTTGTTCTTGCAGGGAGTTTAGGGGTAGTATTACCCATGAAAACCACCCGCAAACATTCATGCACCTAGGTGCAACTACTTATAACTATAGGTACACTTACTATTGATGCTCAGTGTAAATTTTACTTGCATCTATAATACATTTTACATGCACTTGTAATACATTTTACTTGCACTTCGATGTTCAATTATTTATGAAAATGCCACCGCCTTTATCATCTATTAGATCTGGACATGTGGACGGATATCAGGCATTCATATTCATACATGGGCGCTCCATTCGCACCAGAGTGCAATTATATATATATATATATATATATATATATATATATATATATATATATATATATATCTATATATATATATATAAAGGAGAGGAGGGTGGCCTGTATGCATGCTTTTCGATCTCCCAATACACTTCTTGTCTCGTTAGATCGAGTCTTTTAATTATATTATATCTGGTCTGGGATATCAAGGTATCTTGAACGACTTTTTTTTAATACTATTAACTCTCTTACAATATAATATCTGTTTATAACTACTTTTTCAATTTACTAAAGTACAAATAATTAATATGTGGATGAAATATTTATTAGGCTTAAGCTATAAATTTTTTACTCATGAGAAAGTGGGTCTGACTAAATTGCCAACACAAGACGCACGACATCTGGTCAACTACTTGCATGAGATGAGATTATTATTAGGACTCGAGAAAACAAAATCGCGGGTATCAATGTATCTTAACCCAACCCATCATATGTTGACACTAGTAGTTATACGGCGTACCATGGTTCCGAAAATGAAGTTGTTTCTTTAAGTAAGGAAATGGCAATGGTTAAATTTTAACAAATTTTGTATTTTTGTGTGTTCAGAATAAAATGAAATTACAGTGTATTTAAAATGAAACTGAATAATTTGTCTATTATATTGTGTTTATATTATTATCAAATGAAACTGTAATTGAATTGAAATAATGCTTTAGTTGTGTTGGAATGAAACTGCACTATGTATAAAATGAAACTGAATAACATATATATCTCACGTATTGAGTGCATATTGTCAAATAAAACTGTAGTTGAATGGAAATGATACTTTAGTTTTGCTGAAATGAAACTACAGTATTAACCAGCTTGGTTGACATGAGTGACCGTGCACTCTTCTCCCTTAAAAGAAGTCGAAAGTTCAACCCCCTTTCGTATGCAAAAACCAATCTGGCCAACACTTTGTCCCTTAATTAGGCCGGACCGGTGCAAACACTTTGCCCTTTAATTGGACAAGCATTACGTAATGTTACTTGAACAAAATATTATATCATCACAAGATCTTCCAGCCGGGCATACCAGCTCGGTGCGAACACTTTGTCCCTTAATTGGACCAACCCAGTGCAAACAGGGATTAGTCCTACTGTATGTATAATGTTACTTGAACAAAATATTATATCATCACAAGATCTTCCAGCCGGCCAGGAATTGTTAAGTTGATGATAATGTACAAAAATCTACTAATCACAAGATCTTTATTATCTAATCTTTAAAAGTCTGTTCACTCCATTCCCGGCTTCTAACGTTTACCTTCATTTAAACCGTGACTATCAACTAGTTATAAATTATTTAGCTTCGTGTTGATTCCTTTGTATTAGTGACAAATTGTTTGTTGGTACTTGACTCTCCTAAGATTTTTCTAATGCCTTATGGTAATTAATGTAAAGATTTGATGCACAGATGACAAGATCTATCTTTTGGACAAGATTTGTTGAAAGAACAATGATGTAATAAACTAAATCCTATTTTGACATTTAATTTACATTCAATTAATTGCCTTATTAACGTTATACTTGCAACATAACATAAATTTTGGGAGTTGCATGTAATTAAAATGCTTAACTTTACAACATTAACACCACCAAAATTAATGTAACATTATTTAAATAGCGTAATAGTATGTAAACCATACAAGCTGTAAATCGGTGTGATGGGTTGACCAAGAAGGCAGGTGTATGGTAAGCAATGAAGAAGAAAAATTCAAAAGAAATGATAATAACAAACCATAGGAATTGTAGGCGAGGTTAGTTGGTGCAGTAGTGTAAGTAGAAAAGGAATAAATATTTGGAATTTGGTTGTGCACTTATAGTCTCATACACAGTATAAGTAGTACCGTGCGTGATGATGATGAAAAGAAGAAACATATATATATCAAAAAGAAGTAAATAATACCCCAAAATTTTGATCTATCCATAAATATATAAAATATCATAAATCAATCATCAGTTCTATCGATCAGTGGTAAAAAAAAAAAAAAAATGGAGGTTGGTACGAGTTCATCATCCGGTGGTGGCGCGTTTGAAGTGGAGCAAGATTCAGAGGCTCTTCCGGCGGAGGTGGAGGCGGAGGCACCGTTATGGAAGCTGATAGTAGTATCGGCGATAGCCGCCGGAGTCCAATTCGGATGGGCCCTACAGCTATCCCTCCTCACTCCATACGTGCAGCTGCTGGGAATCCCTCACAAATTCTCCTCCCTCATTTGGCTATGCGGTCCAATCTCCGGCCTCATCGTCCAGCCTCTAGTAGGCTACTACAGCGACAACTGCACTAACCGCTTTGGCCGCCGTCGACCCTTTATTTTCAGCGGCGCACTCCTGGTGATCTTCGCCGTCATCCTCATAGGATTCGCCGCCGATATAGGCCACTCTTCCGGAGACCCGCTGGGGAAAGTAACCAAACCCCGCGCCACCATTATATTCATCGTGGGTTTCTGGATCCTGGACGTGGCCAACAACATGCTACAAGGGCCGTGCAGGGCGCTGCTGGCGGATCTGTCGGGCGGGGATGGGAGTAAAACTCGATTGGCAAATACTCTCTTCTCGTTTTTCATGGCGGTTGGGAACATTGGCGGCTATGCCGCCGGCGCCCAATCCACCCTCTATAAAAGCTTCTCTTTCACACTCACCGACGCATGCGACGTCTACTGCGCCAACCTGAAAAGCTGTTTCATTATCTCCGCAGTCCTGTTGTTGATCGTAACCGCGGTGGCCGTAACCTGCGTGGGCGAGATCCAGTACACAAAGAAGGCGACGGAAGGAGGGGAGGGGAAGGTGCCATTCGTCGGGGAACTTTTTGGGGCCTTCAAGAATCTCCCCAGGCCCATGCTCATCCTCCTCATAGTCACGGCTCTCAACTGGATCGCGTGGTTCCCGTTCCTCCTCTACGACACGGATTGGATGGCCCGGGAGGTTTACGGCGGAGAAGTGAACGACAATGGATTATACGACAAAGGTGTGCGCGCAGGAGCATTGGGTCTGATGCTCCAGTCAGTGGTTTTGGGATTCATGTCCATTGGAGTGGAGCTCCTGGCACGTCAGCTTGGTGACGTCAAAATGCTGTGGGTTGGTGTTAACTTTATTTTGGCCATTGGTTTAGCCCTCACAGTAGCCGTCACCAAAGCCGCATCACACTCCAGAAAATACGACGCTCATGGCCACCCCCTCCTGCCAAATTCCAGCGTCAAGGCCGGAGCTTTGGCTATATTTTGCGTTCTGGGTATCCCTCTAGCAGTAAGTATATATAGTAGTTCCATCTTAATTAATTTCACTTCAATTCATCTATCTCATCATCATCTCATACCTATCTAATTACCTTCTGATCCATCCATGGAGTAGGTGACTTTCAGCCTTCCGTTCGCCCTAGCATGCATCTATTCAAGTGATGCTGGTTCTGGGCAAGGTACGTAAGTCCACTACCGGAAATTATGGAATTTCCGACCACCTGAAAGTGATCTTAAATCAAGTCGAAAATCTTGTTCCGACCACTTTTGGTACCGGAAAAAATCTTTGTTGCTATTTCCGACCACTTTTTGGTTTCAACTTATTTAAGATCACTTTCAGGTGGTCGGAAATTCCATAATTTCCAATAGTGATCATACATATATATATTGCATACATTATCAATGTAACTAAACTAAAAGACATATATATTATTGCATGCAGCTGGTCTCTCCCTTGGTGTTCTCAATCTTGCAATTGTTGTGCCACAGGTAGGTATTATATATATAGACCATTATATTATATTGTTAGTGTACTATATTTGATTGATCTGATGAAATGAAATGTACAGATGTTTGTATCGTTTTTAAGTGGACCCTGGGATGCATTGTTCGGAGGAGGAAATTTGCCGGCATTCATAGTGGGTGCAGTATCTGCGGCGGCGAGTGGGATATTAGCAATCACTCTGCTTCCCAAACCAAGATCAGATGGCAAGATTGTGATACCCTAGTTCTAGTAGTAGTGAGCAGCTTTAGCGATTCCACACCTTTAATTGATATAAGCTAAGGGGAATAGCAAAGATGAATATGCATATGCTTCTTCTTCATGGCATGCAGTTCCACATACTGTTGTCCTCTACTGTCCGGAAATTAAACCCCCAGAATAATTCCTCTCCGGCGAGACGACGATGCTTTTGCTTATTGTACTTAATCACTTTAAGACTTGGATGATGAGTGGATTTTTGTTGTTCTTAATTAATGTGAAAATAGTACTATGATCTTTGGCTCCCTTGGAAGTTTTTTATCCATCCTCTTAGCTTCACCTTTCCTCCCATTGACTACCAATGCATTCAAAATGCCCTAAAAGTACATAATTGTCTTCACTGCAACAATTTATGCACCTAAAGATATAAATAAAAGAATTAAGGGCATAAAAATCGAAATATTTATTACTCAAAATTAAATATGTTTCTATATGAATAAAAATATGGACATAAATACACTTATCAAGCTTCTTGCTTACTTTAACTTGCGACTAGTCATGTCATAGCACCCAATCCGCTAAGGATGACATTTTACATGTTACTTGTTCAAAAATCAGGTATGTCTTTTCCTCTAAGTGTCATAATCTAGTAAAAACTAACAAATTATTGGTCTGATTATAAATATGAAATATTTAATCCTTTTTTGTAGCGAGCCCTACATAATTTTTTTTTGGGTGAACAGGAGGGGTCCGGAAAGGCCCCGAAGGACTAAGAGATTCCTCGCGTCCCACATGTCTTTAATACCATTGGGGGCGGGTGATTTAGAATGGACGTTGGCGAAGTAGTTACCCGAATAAACCTTCCGTGTCCTTCTTCTTTTGTAGTGGGCCTTACATAATGACTCTTACCCGAATAAACCTTCCGTCATGTATTAAAATTTTAAAACCCAAAAATTCCAACTTAAATGGATTATATTGTGACGACGACTGACAAAAACATTCAATAATTTGAAGGAAGAGTTGAGTAAATTCATGGCAAAAATGTTCAACAAAAAGAGGAGTGTACATCAAGAAAAGCGAAGGAGGAAAAACATAAGGACTTATTGGTATGTATGTTAGCTCCTCTAAATTAATTAATGGAGATTACGCTAACAATGCAAAAACTAGTAACAGATAGAATTAGATTTGGTTACAACTGCATTTGGTTTTGGTCCTTCCACTCTCGCTCACACTCCACATTAATCAACAAAAGCAATAGTTGTTAAAGCTAAGAAAAAGGCAAAGATCCAGAAAAGACAATGAAACAATCAAATCATCATAGATTAATTATGTAAGCCCAACTAAACCCCTCAAGGAAAACTTGAAAAGAAAACATGTGAAAATAATCAAGGAGACCAACAAAAGAAATAGAATTCTTCTTACAATAAAGTTACAAAAGAACTAACCCTTTTTGGATTGAAAAAAATGGAAGACTTCAACATCTTCCATGCATAGTCCCAATAGAGGTTTGTAGAAGACGTTTGATAACTCTTCTGACACCTTGTTACGGCTATGAGGGATGGGATGGGTTTACTTGGGGATGGCAATGGTTCAGGGTGGCTACATCCACAATCCAATTATAATGAAATAATAAAATTCACTAGTGATATTAAAACATAAAATAATAGAAATATTAAAATATACTCTATAGTAACTAAATTAATAAGGCAAAATCTCTAATTAGAAGAGGATCTGTGAGACGAGCGAATTTTTTATCAGTATTATAGTTTCTTCTTTATAAGTATTATAATTTTTCTCATAAGTATTTTTCAACTACTAATATTATATTTTTATTTAAAAGTATTACATTTTTAATTTGATTAGTCCCGAGTGGATCAAACAAAAATAATTTGTTTTTATCGTTCACGAGATGGAGCTAGTTTATCAAACAAAAATAATTTGTTTTTATCGTTCATAAGATGGAGTTTAGGCATAATTCTTGAAAAGCATCTAGACACAAGGAAAACGAAATCAGTGGAAACTAAGCAATGATATGAAATTGGAGAAAAAACAAGGAACATGAGTAAATAATCAAATAACAAAGGTAGGACTTGGAGTGAGGTGACATTCGATTCAAATGCTAGGTCATAGATTTAGGAGAGTCAAACTCAACATCGGGTTCCAAGATTGTCAACACCAATTTGGAAAACACGCCACTTTCGTGATTCTAATGCTAAGTTGAAGTGAAAGACAAGGATTGCCCAACTTTCGTGATGCACCGACCCTCTACAAAGCGCAATTAAGCAATCTTGATCTAGATCCCTAAAACTCCCTACTTTCATAGTGGAATCTAGGAGTTGTGAGATGAGTGATGTGTAGCAAAAATGAGATGTGGTGAGTGTACGGGTGTGTTATGTCGTCCTCGGGGGATTGGGGGATATGGCACGCAATACGCAATCACAAGAAACTAGCACTAGGCAATCAACAAGAAGCTAAGCAAACTACAAGTTTAAGGAAATGATAAGACTAACACATATACACAAAGATAAACACAAAATAAAGAAATAGGACTCAAGCTAGGGTGCATTATCATCTAGATGCTTTAACAACCTAAGGAATTAGGGAGAACAAGTAACCAAGGAATCAAGCGGGAATGCACGTAGGTATCCTAGTCTACGAACCATTCTCGTGATTAATAAACAAAGATTAGAACAAGGAATTGCCCCACTTTCGTGGTGAATCAATTCCAAGTCCATCAAGCACACAAAGCATCTAATCCCCCAATTTCCCCTATTTTCGTAGGAAGAAATCGGGTCTATGCAAGGGGTGACTTGGATTCATCACCCAACTCTCGTTGAGGCAAGGAATCCTCCAAAAACAAGCTAATGAATGTGTACATCAAACATTAACAAGATATAAATACAAAACCTTCACAAACACATGAACCCTAGGTTGGAGTTCTTCCCCTTTTTTGCAATAATCACAAATCAAGCATCAAGATAGAAAATACAACCCTAACTCAAGTCCATAAACTAACTACTCATGATTAAATAGCATAAAGAACACAAAAACACAAGTAATAAGCATAAATCTTGCAAAATAAAGAGATAAAAGGAAGGAACACTTCTCTAAAGAAATTGGATGGTAGAATCTTGAAATGTTGGAATCCAAGTGTTGAATCCTTGATTACAAGCTTGAAATATGTTAAGAAACCTAAATCTAAACCTAATATAACACTACAATATGAAAGGAAGTGAAAAAGAGAAGCTAGGGCTCAACCATGGGTCAAAACTAAGTAAAAATGACAAAAAACGGAGTTTATAAAAAGTTGCAGCAGAGGTGACACGGCCAGGGACATGGCCATGTCCCTGGCCGTGTCCAAAATAGCAGTAGCTACTGGAATGCACAGAAAATACACGGCCACAGACACGGCCGTGCACTTGTCCGTATCTTTTGGCCTTCAAAACGTCAGAATTTGGATCTATGGTCTTCATGAAAGTTGTAGCCCTTCGAGTCATATTTCCAATGCCGCAAGAATCACTTTATTTGGACATTCCTAAGCCGAGATATGGTCCAAAAACCAAACAGTGGTCAGTTTTGGATTGTAAGTTTGGAACTTTAACTTCAAGGACAGTTTTGAACCCTGTGACTTCCTTTTTAGGCTTTGATGTCTGAATATGAGTTGTAGATCTTTGAGTCTTCTTTCCAATGGGACAAGAATAACATAATTTGGATATTTGTAGACCGAGATATGGCCCGAAAACAGAACAGTGGCCAATTCCTGCGAGAATTTCAACTTGTTGACACTTGTTCCACTTTTGCCTTGGTTTAATTTGTCCATATGATCAACACCATTGAAAACATCACTCTTTGGCTCATTTGGAAGTGTTGCATCCATCTCGTTAGCTTCACCTTGGCTCCCCTTGACTCCAAATGCATCCAACATGATCTAAAATCCTTCATTTCTACTCAAAGATAATGAATTGTGCATAATGGATCAAATGAGCAAAATAAAGATCATTTTGAACAACATTGTGACACTTCATAAGCAAAACAAGGTTAAATATGGGATAAACATGGGGTATAAATATGAACAATTATGCACTTATCAATGAGTCTAAGAGAATATATATCATCAACCCAACTTTCGTCATGGTTGGATTCCAACTAAGATGAGTGTTAACAATGTTATGCACCACATCTTAACACAAGAATACAAAAATCTCAATCTAAAGTATACAATTTCCAGACACACTAGAATTTTTGAAATTCTAAATCTTTTACAAATAGTACTCCAAAAGAATTTCTTAACATTTCCTCATAGTGGTTAAGGATTATTCATAATATAAAATTTATTTAAAAAAAAAAAAAAAAAAAAAAAAAAAAAAAAAAAAAAAAAAAACCTAACAAATCAAGACCCGCATTAGCAGCCTTACGTCAAGTACGGTAACAATACTCGCTTTGTCTAAGAGCAGACTACCTTAGCACACCCTTCAACATGTTCCTAATGCCCAAGTGAATGCCACACCTTCACTTAATAATTTATACAATGAACAATAATATTTTTATAGATCAGAGCTTACATAATTTAATGTGATATTGGAATCTTTGTATTTGAGTCACATTCCTATGATTCTTCTTGTAATTATTGTTGTTCATATAATAGAGGTTTTTTACTTGTTCCATGACAGACGGATTGTTACGTTTCTAAAGCTGCCATTACTTCAATTCCTCCGGTCCTATTGTTGTTAATTCACTTTTTATTCTTCCAAAAGGTTGAACCTCAACCCTAAAGGCTCCCCACACCCCGGCCCAACAAAGCATCTGGAAGGATGTAAATCATGGTAACTCAGAGGCTACACCTAGACCTTTGCTTACTGCGCACAAGGAACCCCCTCACTTTGAGAGGGTGCTCCCACATTGCCGCTGTTGAGACTCGATCCTTGGTCCAGTATTAAGCTTAAATTGATTTAATAAGGAGATTGATGTTTGAATTAAAATTGTGTAATACGAAAGCAAATATAAATTAAAGAAGATGATACAAAATTAAATTCCACATTAAAGGAAATTAACAACAACAAAAATCCACTCATCATCATCAACGTTTTAAAGTGATCAAGTACAATAAGCAAAAGCAGCATCATCGTCTCAACGCTATCCGCCGGAGAGGAGTTATTTTGGGGTTTAATTTCCGGACAATAGATGACAACAGTATGTGGAACTGCTGACAGAACATGCCATGAAGAAGAAGCATATGCATATTCATATTCATATTTGCTACTACACTACAATCTAGGGTATCATAAGCTTGCCATCTGATTGAGGTTTGGGAAGCATAGTGATTGCTAATATCCCACTCGCCGCCGCAGATACTGCACCCACTATGAACGCCGGCAAATTTCCTCCTCCGAACAATGCATCCCAGGGTCCACTTAAAAACGATACAAACATCTGTACATTTCATTTCATCAGATCAATCAAATATAGTACACTAACAATATAATATAATGGTGTGTATATATAATACCTACCTGTGGCACAACAATTGCAAGATTGAGAACACCAAGGGAGAGACCAGCTGCATTCAATAATATGTATGTCTTTTAGTTTAGTTACATTGATAATATAATGTGTATATGCAATATATGTATGTATGATTTACTACGTACCTTGCCCAGAACCAGCATCACTTGAATAGATGCACGCAAGGGCGAACGGAATACTGAAAGTCACCTACTCGATGGATGGATTAGAAGGTAATTAAATAGGTATGAGATAGATGAATTGAAGTGAAATTTAAGATGAACTACTATATATATACTTACTGCTAGAGGGATACCCAGAACGCAAAATATAGCCAAAGCTCCGGCCTTGACGCTGGAATTTGGCAGAAGGGGGTTGCCATGAGCGTCGAATTTCCTGGAATGTGTTGCGGCTTTGGTGACGGCCACTGTGAGGGCTAAACCGATGGCTAAAATAAAGTTAACACCACCCCACAGCATTTTGACGTCACCAAGCTGACGTGCCACCAGCTCCACTCCAATGGACATGAATCCCAAAACCACCGACTGGAGCATCAGACCCAATGCTCCTGCGCGCACACCTTTGTCGTACAATCCATTGTCGTTCACTTCTCCGCCGTAAACCTCCCTGGCCATCCAATCCGTGTCGTAGAGGAGGAAGGGGAACCACGCGATCCAGTTGAGAGCGGTGACTACGAGTAAGATGAGCATGGGCCTGGGGAGATTCTTGAAGGCCCCCAAAAGTTCCCCGACGAATGGCACCTTCCCCTCCTCTCCTTCCACCGCCTTCCTTGTGTACTGGACCTCGCTCACGCAGGTCACGGCCACCGCGGTTACGATCAACAACAGGATCGCGGAGATAATGAAACAGCTTTTCAGGTTGGCGCAGTAGACGTCGCATGCGTCGGTGAGTGTGAAAGAGAAACTTTTATAGAGGGTAGATTGGGCGCCGGCGGCATAGCCGCCAATATTCCCAACCGCCATGAAAAACGAGAAGAGAGTGTTTGCCAATCGTGTTTTACTCCCATCCCCGCCGGAAAGATCCGCCAGCAGCGCTCTGCACGGCCCTTGTAACATGTTATTGGCCACGTCCAGGATCCAGAAACCCACGATGAATATAACGGTGGCGCGGGGTTTGGTTACTTTCCCCAGAGGGTCTCCCGTAGAGTGGCCTATATCCGCGGCGAATCCTATGAGGATGACGGCGAAGATCACCAGGAGTGCGCCGCTGAAAATAAAGGGTCGACGGCGGCCGAAGCGGTTGGTGCAGTTGTCGCTGTAGTAGCCTACTAGAGGCTGGACGATGAGGCCGGAGATTGGACCGCATAGCCAAATGAGGGAGGAGAACTTGTGGGGGATTCCCAGCAGCTGCACGTATGGAGTGAGGAGGGATAGCTGTAGGGCCCATCCGAATTGGACTCCGGCGGCTATCGCCGACACCACTGTCAGCTTCCATAACGGTGTCTCCTCCGGAAGAGCCTCCAAATCTTGCTCCACTTCAAACGCGCCACCACCGGATGATGAACTCGTACCAACCTCCATTTTTTTTTTTTTTTTTTTTTTTTTTTACCACTGATCGATGATAAACTGATAATTTTTTATATTTGATATTTGATAGATAAAATCAAAATTTTGGGGTATTATTTACTTTTTTTTTTTTTTGGATATATTTATGTTTCTTCTTTTTATCATCGTACTTCGTAAGCACGCAGTTTAGTACTCACTCCTGCACAACCAAATATATATACCTTTCCTCCTTACACTCCACCAACCTCGCCTACAAACCCTATGGTTTGTTATTATTTCTTTTGAATTTTTCTTCAACTAGATTGGTTACGTTAAACCTGCCAAATCGCAATGATTCCTTCTTTGATCTGTCAGAATATATATGATCACATATAAATGAAGTTAATTTCTTAATACGTAAGAAAAATTAATTAGTTAAATAATTCTTTTTCTCAAAACGAACAAGCAGGAAGAATATATTGTTAAATGAGGTACAGAATGCAATCAGAGAAAACTCACAAAACCATGGGACCAGACTAAGTGTAAATTGCCTTTGTTAGCAATAGTTATGCTGTGCAACCGAATGTACCATGCGTATGGTGCATACGGTTCAAAACGACGTCGTTTTGATTAAAAACGCGCATCCCACTTAAAAAAGAAAAATCAGGTTCGACTCTCAGCAATAGCATTATTGTGGATATATAGTTATGAAATTGTGGATATATAGTTATGAAATTGTGGTTATATAGTTATGAATTTATGGATATTTAGTTCATTCGTTGTGGATATTTAGTTCAATCATATATTATAGATATTTAGTTCATTCATTGTGGATTTTTACTTCATTCATTCATTTATTGTGGATTTTTACTTCATTCATTCATTCATTGTGGATTTTTACTTCATTCATTCACTGTGGATATATAGTTATGAAATTGTGGATATATAGTTATGAAATTGTGGTTATATAGTTATGAATTTATGGATATTTAGTTCATTCATTGTGGATATTTAGTTCAATCATATATTGTGGATATTTAGTTCATTCATTGTGGATTTTTACTTCATTCATTCATTCATTGTGGATTTTTACTTCATTCATTCACTGTGGATATATAGTTATGAAATTGTGGATATATAGTTATGAAATTGTGGTTATATAGTTATGAATTTCTGGATATATAAAAATGCTATTGCCGAAAATCGAACCTGATTTCTTTTTTAAGTGGGACGCGCGTTTTTTTAACTAAAACGGCGCCGTTTCGCAATCGTATGCACCTTGCAAGGTGCATTCGGTTGCACAGCATAATTTGCGCTTTGTTAGAGCATGGGCTTGCTGGTTCAATATAATGATTGCTATTTGCTAACGTAGCTAAGAGAGCAAGAACTAACAGAGTTAATTAATCAGACTAATACAATGATTTAGCACAAAACCTACATAAGAGAGAAACTTGAATTTTGCTGAAATAGCTCAAGAGACATTTTGGCCAATCATGGATCAGGATTCATACTGCACTATGTACCTTGGTTCATGTGTTTGTACGTGTTTTGTGTTACGACTTTTTACGTTTTGCATTATGAGATTCTGTGCTTTATGAGTATGAATTTTGTACTAAAACAAATTAGTAATTGTGTCTTTTATGTTATAAATTTATGTGTCTTTGTGTTATAAAATTTTGTAACTTACAAGTATGAATTCTCTATCTCGTCCTTTCAATCCAACTGGTCCATAATGCTATGCTATGCTATGCTATGTGTCTTGAGTTGTAATTTTTGTGTGAAAATTTGTACCTTACCAGTTTAAATTTTATATCTAGTTGTTTTAATCCATAATTCATAATGTTATATGGACCCTGGTTCATGATATAGATTGTCAATTTTGGCAGTCGGTCACCGGCCACCTGGATGTTGCTAACCCCTTTGTTATTGATCCAAGAGAGCGCCACCTTCTAGGTTAAGACTTCGCTAGAATCGAATCAAGGCTACAGTTCAACGGACCAATACACGCCGCCACGAAGACTCCGTCGTTATACATTCCGGATTAGAACCCGTATGTCGCCACCGGCCAGCTTCCAGAGTAATTGCTGCGTTGACGCCGCAGGTGACGGAACCCCTGGACGGGGGTGACAGCACTGCCGGTGGTGAAACCGCTGCGCTTGCTTTCTTGCGCCAACTGCCAAGCTCTCAGCTCTCTCATTGCTTTTGTAACAACATGAAAGATTGGAATATGATTGTTTCTTGCCGCCCATGTTAAGACTTAGTGTATTATCAGTAGTAGTTTTATTGTAACTAGTTTTTTTTTTTTTTTTTTTCTCTGGGATTGTACTCTATTTATTATGATGCTTTGAGGTGAATAAACACACTCTATTCTAGCTCTTAGTTGATTTTTAGTCTAGTGGTAAAATTGGTGACCATTCGTGTATTCTTTGGTTCTAATGTTGTCTCCTGAAAGTCTGCTAAACAACAGTTTGTGTCTCAGTTTCGGGCGTCGGAACCTCCGCCATCCCTGCATGAGGGATAGGAAGGCCATCCGAACCCCAACCCGACAGAGTACAACGAGTCCCCATCACACTATACGGAGTATTTTCTTGCATGAGACACCGGTATGGCAACATCATCCCATAGCAACAATTGACGTCCCCACAATTATAACCAAGTTGGTAAAACATGATTTTCATATTTGAATGTTAAGTCTTTGATTCTTAATTACTAGCATCCTCTTGGTGGAGCTTATTATTGCACCAATTTACTTATCCTATGTAAATAATTTGCAGGCTATTACACTATTTAAATAATTTTACTTAAGACCAATTAAGGATAATGTGCCAAACTTTGAAAGGAAAGTAATTAGTAACAAAAACTCCACTCAAAGTTACGTTCCAAATTAAGTGGGCCATTAAGTGCAGTAAGCAAAAGCCTTTCAGGTTTCCATTAAGTTCAAGAAGCAAAAGCTGGCCCATGGCCTATACAATGTTATGTGAACCATAACAAAAAGTACATTTTTAATATACTAAATGTATATTATTTTTATATTGTATGTACATTATACAATATAATGTACACTCAGTACAAAAATAATGTACATTCCTTGAATACAATGTACATTATTTCTGTACTGAATATATATTACTTTTGTATCGAATGTACATTGTTTTACCGTATACAAAATATAGTCCATACAACTTGTGTGGACCATGTTTCAGACAATAATGATCGGCAAAAGCTAGCCTCTGATCTCAATGCTATCTGGAGAATTCTTTCCAGTCAACAAACAACAGTATATCACGCGTGCAGTGCTTGAATTGCTCTCTTCGTATATAGTAGCCATGCATGCATGCATTACTACGGTATGACAAGCTTGGCATCTGATTGAGGTTTGGGAAGCAGAGTGATTGATAATATTCCACTCGCCGCCGCAGATAATGCACCCACTATGAATGCCGGCAAATTTCCTCCTCCGAACAGTGCATCCCAGGGCCCACTTAGGAACGATACGAACATCTATACATGGGGGCAATTCATCATATATAACTTTAATTTAGACAAAATCAAAAAAAGACACAATCTTGTGTATTAAGAACACATAATATAATACTTTTTCACTATAGGACGGTCTAACATACAACTTATTCAGATGTATATAATACCTGTGGTAGAACAATTGCAAGATTGAGGACACCCAGGGAGAGACCAGCTGCAAATAAAATGTATTATTTTAGTTTAGTTGTTTCCAAAAATCAACTAAACCACAAAGGCACGAGCCCCTCACTTTGAGAGAGGTTGCTAATCTCCCACACTGCCAACTGAACCATAGAGGTGTACAAGGAGTCCCCTCACTTTGAAAGAAGTTGCTAACCTTCCACACTACCAACTGAACCATAGAGGTGCACAAGGAGTCCCTCACTTTGAGAGGTTGCTAACCTCCCCCACTGCCAACTGAACCACAGAGGCGCACAAGGAGCCCCTCACTATGAGAGGTTGCTAACCTCCCAAAGACTCTATCCTGGTCATTCTTCCCAAACTTTACCTCTATAATCAGTTGAGCTGCCCATGCATGCATGGGTAGTGTTTAAATGGCATATATATAAGAATTGTACGTTTTACCTTGCTCAGAACCAGCATCACCCTCACTTGAATAGATGCATGCTAGAGCAAACGGAATGCTGAAAGTCACCTACTCGATCAAAGAAGATAGATATATATATGAAAGAGGTAATAACCTAATCATCGCTCTTTATCATATATATATATGATCTGAGAAATTAAGATGGACCGGATCAGAAAATCAGGCTTACTGCTAGAGGGATACCCAGAATGCAAAAGATAGCCAAAGCTCCGGCCTTGACGCTGGAATTTGGCGGAAGGGCGTGGCCTTGAACGTCAAATCTTCTAGAGTGTGATGCGGCTTTGGTGACGGCTACTGTAGAGGCTAAACCAATGGCCAAAATAAAGTTAACACCACCCCACAGCATTTTCACGTCGCCCAGCTGACGTGCCAGAAGCTCCACTGCAATGGACATGAATCCCAAAACCACCGACTGGAGCATCAGCCCCAACGCTCCTGCCCGCACACCTTTGTCGTACAATCCATTATCGTTCACTTCCCCGCCGAAAACCTCCCTCGCCATCCAATCCGTGTCGTAGAGGAGGAAGGGGAACCACGCGATCCAGTTGAGAGCCGTGACTAAGAGCAGGATGAGCATGGGCCTGGGGAGATTCCTAAAGGCCCCCAAAAGTTCCCCGAAGAATGGCACCCTCTCCCCCCCTCCTTCCACCGCCTTCTTCGTGTACGGAATCTCGTTCGCGCAGGTTACGGCCACAATGGTTGTGACAAACAACAGGATCGCGGAGATGATGAAGCAGCTCTTGAGGTTGGCGCAGTAGACGTCGCAGGCATTGGTGAGGGAAAAAGGGAAGCTTTTATAGAGACTGGGCTGGGCGCCGGCGGAATAGCCTCCAATGTTCCCAACCGCCATGAAAAACGAGAAGAGCGTGTTCGCCATTCGCGTCTTCCCGGCATCCCCGCCGGAGAGATCCGACAGCAGCGCCCTGCAGGGCCCTTGTAACATATTGTTAGCCACGTCCAGGATCCAAAACCCCACTATGAAAATAACAATGGCGCGAGTCTTGGATTCCTTCCCCAGGGGGTCACCCGTGGCGTGGCCTATATCGGCGGCGAATCCTATGAGGATGACGGCGAGGATCACCAGGAATGAGCCGCCGACAATAAAGGGTCGCCGCCGCCCAAACCGACTGGTGCAATTGTCGCTGTAATATCCCACCAGCGGCTGAACAATCATGCCGGAGATTGGACCGCAAAGCCAAATGAGGGAGGAGTACTTGTGTGGGATTCCCAGCAGCTGCACATAAGGAGTGAGGAGGGAAAGCTGCAGCGCCCATCCGAATTGGATGCCGGCGGCTAACGCCGACACCACTACCATATTCCATACCGGTGTCTCCGCCGCCGGCGCAGAATCACCGTTCTGCACTTGAAACGCTGATGAACTGGTCTTCTCCATTATATTTTTTTTAAATTTTTTTTTTAATAATAGAATATTTTTATTTTTTTCATATATTTTTTTTTTTGTTTTTTATTTCTTTTTTATCATCACATATTGTGTGCTATGTAAGAGAAAATGGGGCCGGGGAGGGTTTATATAAAACATTCTACGCGAAGATCGCCTACAAAGCATATAGTCAGTTATTTGTTTTGAAGTCTTCCTTACACATGACCAATTTCCCGGAGACATGTTCGAATATATATACAAGTGGCATCTACATGTATATATCAAATGCTATCTGAATGACGAAGAAAAAATATTAATTATAGGCGCACTCAAGTATGAACCGCTGCTCATGAGAGAAATTAGGAATTAGTTTGAGTCGTCCATCTGAAAGAATCAATGAATCAGATGTAATTTTAGAAAAAAAAAAATACATTACATCTTTGTAAATAACTCGAATCTACCTCGTCAATAATACGGGCGATAAAATTCAAAGTTCGTCCCATTCTGCGGGCTAAGCCGGTTTTGACAGCTTTGTATTTAAGCATGATTTGAGCTATTTCTACTTTCCGACCTTTAGAAGAACCCTAACCATTTTCTAGCATTTCTTCTCTTTTTTTTTTTTAGATTAGAATAGACTTAGATTTATATTCTTTAACATTTTGAAAGCTTGTAATCTTGGATTTGAAGTATAATTTTCATCATATCACTTTCATTTTAATAGATAAAGTTCTCTTTAATTTCTTTTCATATATATGTTTCATTTATGTTATTCATGATTTATTCTTGTGTTTTTATGAAGTTTATACTTAATAAAATGTGTGAGTAAGTAGTTTATGGACTTAGGTTAGGGTTGTATTATCAATCTAGATGTTATATTCTTGATTATTGCATAAAGGGGATTTTGTCTACCTAGAGTTATTAAGTTTATGAAAAAATTATGTTTGTATATATTTGTTAGTGTTTTGTGTACAACATTTATTTGCATACTTTTTGGAAAATTTTTGGCTACTAACAAGAGTTTGGTCAAAATTTTGAGTTACTGTACTCCTTCCACTCTACGAAATTAAAATTAGGAAATTGGGGAATTTTGGTGTTTTGTATATATGCATCACGCAAACCTTGTTATTCATTTTTACTGAGATTTGATCTCATGACTTTCTATATGGGAGATGTTACAACATGCTATCTGAACACAAGGTGTTTGGCTACTCAATTCAATATTTTAACTACTTAACCACCAAATTAGAGGAGAGTTAGACTCAACAATATATCACTCCACGATAACCCTTAAATCTGAAGACCATATGGAAAAGCCCATCTTTCGCTTCCGCAGCACGACATATGTAATCCAATGTTGTATATGAACCCCACAATCCAACGGTTACAGTGAACCATAGTCCACAGTTCTTTTTGGACCATAATTCGAAAACGGCAGCCGTTACATTTTAACAGATTCCGTATTTTTTGTGTATTCATAACAAAATGAAACTACAGTATATCTAAAATGAAACTGTCTCGCATATTGTGTTTATATTATTAAATGAAACTGTATTTGAATTGAAATGATACTTTAGTTGTGTTGAAATGAAACTGTATACAGTATGTATAAAATGAAACTGAATAATATGTTTCACATATTGAGTGTATATTGTCAAATAGAACTGTAATTGAATAGAAATTATACTGCAATTGTGTTGTACTGAAACTACACGTTGTGTTTAATTTGCCACAATCCACTCGCCCTCAGCTCCCTCGAGACCCAAAGAGCACCTGGCCTCCACAGCCAACTTTTTTTCCTTCAATTCTGTCTTATAACACTCTCTATGTTCAATTTAATCCATACATGCATGCATCCTATGATTTGGCCCAACAAATCCCTGATCTCTCACCGCATAATCCTAAATCATGCCCTACACTATGGCCTGTTTGATAATATAGTTAATTTTAGTTTATTTGATTACTATTAGCTGTTTGACCTAGTTAAACAATCAATATGAGTGTTTGATTAATGAACTTTTTATAATAGTTTATTGTTTCAAAATGTTAAAATTCAAAAAGTTGTTCAAAACATCTTTTTGATAAAATCATTTTGTATGTAATCAGCTATTAGAGAACAATTAATTTACCAAACAGTTTTTTACAATTAATTAATACTATCAATTAGTCAAATCCGCTAACCCAATCAATTAGTTAATTATTTACCAAACAACCCTATGTCTCTCTGCCTAGATGCATGCCTTAGCGGAGGCCCTCTCTCAATTTTCTCTGCTTACATATTAATTAATTTATTGGACCTTACAATAAATCATATATAACTATTTGGACATATTTTGTGAAATTGATTTAATTAAAATCATATAATGCACACTTATTTTTTTTTTTTTTAACAATGAAATACTACCATTCCTCATTTTTAAATAATATATACATCATAGCCCTGCAAGACTTAACTCAATGGATCAAACATCACCCTGAAAGTCTTTCTCCACCCACTAAAGACATGAGTGGAAACTGAGAACTGACCCTTGGGCAAGGGTTCTCGATCGGGATTTAAAATTAGTCTAACGTTGTGCATAATTATGTGTAGAATATATATGATTTTTCGTTATTAGAAAAAAATTATTTTAAGTGATTTGACATTAAAAATCTAGTTGTATTATTGTACACTATGTCCTACTTTGCATCCTTGCATTTATGTGAGTCTCAGCTCCCTCTTCAAGTCAAACAAGGTTGAAATTAATGAAATTATCCCACCTTCATCGTGCGTTGTTGCTTCAATTTGAGTTTTGTATCAGCCTACCAACTACTGAGTTAGGCCCTTCCGACATGTTTGGCTCAACGAAAACAGAGAGAACGGAATTATACTATACAATTCCTTTGTTTGAATTGGTTTGTCCAAACAATTGATCCCTTAGCTTGCTCAGTTTTGGCTATAGCCAAACCTTTTTTTTTCCCTAATTAATAAACAAATTCAATTTATGTGTTACGTATCTGTGAGCTCCATCCCATGACCTCTCATCTAGAAGAGCCACTTCAGACCACTAGACCACAAGATCATTGGCGTATGCGTTATGTATTTATTTTTTCAATTTTTAAAACCAAGTAAAATTAAGAATATAATTCTTATTATGTTGTGTTGTGTTAATCTTATTTTTAGTCCTAGATTTATAGGTGGCAGCCCACTTTTAAACCTTTTTATCAGAACATTCTTTTTTGGTCCTAGTATTATTGTGACATGATCAATTTTGGTCATTTATCAAAAAAATCATTGAAATTTCATTAAATACGAAGACATTTCTTTCTTCAATTATGAATTTTTTCAAAAAAAAAAAACATAAAAAAATATAACGGGTCAACGCACTTTGTATTATCAAAATGTCAGTACTCATTATATAGTTTTACTTCCTAAATTATCTCCCTAGTACAAGGTAATAATAAGCCTCCGATTTTCAAAAATAAGCTTCCGATTTTCATTGTAATTCCCTTCATCAAGTACGTCTTTAATTTCCTTTCAAAAAAAAAAAAAAAGTACGTCTTTAATTTCCATGAATTACAACATAATCTTTAATGTCCTACCTTAAATCTTTTTCTTCTATAACGTATCATGCCTTTTAATGTTTAATCAAATTAAAGATCGATATTTTAAATAACTGCACCTAGACTATATATATCTAACAAATATATTGAAGATATTTTGTTTATTACATGTTTTAATTGATTTATCTTTAATTTGGATAGACATCCATATATGCAAATATTATGTCGGGTCAGGGTGTGGGGGCTCTTAGAGTTGAGGATTTAACCTTTTGAGAGAAGAAAGTGAAATTTATATTGCCGGTTGAGATTATGTCCAAAATTAACAGATTTCTTGAGCTATTAAGTCACCTTAATTTACGTGAAGTGAAATTTATATATATTTATTTAGGATATATAAGTGAGCGGAGGGTTATAAACATTTTCCGACGACGGAATTGAATGAAGAAGAACACTGCATTGAATAGACGTACAAGTCAACGATTGATGACATGAATGAGACGAGATAACTGATGATTGATACTCTGATCTTTTCATATTTTCTAGTTTTTAAAGAGAAATATATGTAACTATTATTTGAGAGTGTGTAGTGAGTAAATTAGCCATGCTCTTATATAATAGCCAGTAAATTATATAAAGAGATAAACAACACTATATTAAGAAGACTATGTGCAATAAACTGAAAACAAAATATATATAAGAGTTAAATTTAAATTTTTTAATATAAAAATTATATGTCACCCACTCGATCACCTTTTTCGAAGCTGATTTTTATGATATAGTCATGGTTGGCGGCGCACATGGAAATAGACAATTTTGGTTTGTGTTCTTTGGTGGAGGTTTTGGGTATGGACGGAGTAGCCCATCCTGTGGATAAGCTGGCCTGTCCTGTCCTTCTGCTCTTGCGTCCATGCCAAACCTTTCTATTTATCATTTTTTGTCCACACACAATTATGCATATATACTTGCACACACCATTATTGTACATTCCAAATTATCAAGTCTTTGGGTGATGACTACTTAGGGTTAAACAATGTGGCCGGAAGGAGTTAACATCATGTATGTATATATATACAAGCAAGAATGGAGTTAACATCATGTATGTATATATATACAAGCAAGAATACAATGGAGGATTAATTTGTGGTCCAACAACACAATTTGCACTTCGTATAGCGTTAAACAATTATGATATGTGCCTATACACAAATATCGTATAGCAATTTTAAATATCGTATATTTATGAATGGTAAAAGTAGTCATCGCTAGAGTGTAAAGAGCAGTATCGCTGGAATCCTTTAATTCGTGAGGAAGGTCGAAAATGAATTATAAAAAAAAAAAAAAAACAACTCGTAAAATATTAGACTGGCTTTCAAGTGCAATCTCAACTAAAGCGGTGAGATGTGAAACAATGTTAGATTCAAATTATGTAAATCTTACATTTTATATTGGAACATGTTGAAGGGATCGGAGCAAAACATTTTACTTCCTCAACTA